TAATAATAATATAGGAATTTAAATTATAATATAATGATTATTATTATTATTAAATGATTTTATTTAATAATGTGATGATAGTTATATAATTTGTTTAATTATATTATTTTACATTATTTAATCTGATATTGAATTAATTTACATTATTTAATCAACAAGACTATACCCACGACACTGTATCACTATGTTTGCACTGCCGACGCCCAGGCCATCAAAAACAACAAAAAGATACTACCGGGTCGTATATCGGGACAGGCAGCCAATGGTGTATTACTATCATCGATGGACCCCGGTCGATTTTATCGTGACGATATCAAACAAGATATATTTGATGGCCAGTGTCCGTCTACCTGTGCGGACAATGTAGTACAGGTTGCCAGTGGCCAACTGGACAGTAACCAGTTGCACCAGTTTACCCGTCAGGGCAAACATGACCTATACTATTACGATACCGCTATAACCGTACAGCAACCGGATGTTATAGATAAGCCACGCTGTATGAAACCACGATCGGGTAGTCAACAGCAGCAGCACCCACCGTATCAAATGTATGGCCAACAACAACAACAACCACCACCTTATATGCCTTACTATCCGTACAACAGTCCTCCACCTCCTCCTCCACCCTCTACTGGCATACAATATTATGGTGGACAGCCTTATATGCAGGTGCCAATGATACCTTATAACTATCCTAACCCAGCATCACCACCACTGCCTACATATGAACAGTCACCTAATATGGCATATCCGCAACAAAATATGTATAATCCTTATAATAATAATCCATATCCTACATACAACTCATATTATCCTAATTATTATTATTAAATTTACATTAAATATAATACAGGTATAGATATTATTCAAAGTAATATTTTTTATAACTGTATTAATTACTTGTATTAATACATAAATAAATAACTTGTTGAGGATTAAAATATGACTATATTTTTACCATTAATTTTATCATTTTATTTGTTTTGTATTGAACTACTATATCTATTTTTAGTACATTTATACTCTATTTTTAGTCACTTACAGTTCCTTATCTACATATTCCTGGAAATACCAGTCATTGTTACCATTCACTGGCACCACAATGACCGGTCAAATATCAATTATCATATCAAACAGTTTAATATTCAAACTATCCAATCAATGCCTTTCCTTTCAAAACTACTACCTGTTTGACTGTACAGTATAAATACAGTACCAACAGTCAAACAGGCAGTCAGTGTCTTAATACCAGTCATACCATACATCCCTCTCAGTCAATACTTTTATACTTACTTTTATTACATACTGTACAACACGTGTACTATCTTATCCACCATTATTTTAACCATTGTTTTAATTGTTAACCTTTTATAATAAAGTGACTATTATTGATATCTTGTGTCCAATCATTCCTACATCAGTGACCGGTCCACAAAGTGACCACCAATTCATTACAGGCACCGACCGTCCAGTTCACTGATTCACAAGATATACCGCTCCGCTGACCATAGATTTGGTTTGTCATACATTGAAGGCTTGGATCAACCCATTGGCTACCACTCGTGTACCACAACTGCAAGATCGGCTCTTATATCACTTGTTGGTCTAATAACGACTTAACTGGTGATCTTATAGTGGATATCTGTCTCATAACGACTCATATCTACTAGTGTTTAGTATCGATTAGACGGGAAGTACAGGTCTCATACCGACCCACGCTAAGTACTGACCGGTCTATTTAGGCATTTATTGTCTGAGTAGACATTCCTCTGGAACTAAACAATACTGCACACAACAAACTAATTGATAACAAAAATTTATTATTTATGTTTATTTCAATATATTAAAATATGTATATTATTATTTTTATTTATATGTTACTTAAATTTTATTTTTAAAAATTTTATATCTATCTTTGAGTTTATTTTTCAATAATATAATCTAAAATTAAATCTATTCAATTAAAATTAAAGTTTAAGTAGTTTTTAAATACTATCATATAATAATATCAAATAATATCATACATAGTATTATTTTATGATTAAATTATATACTATATATAAAAATAAATACAATTATTTTTGAAATTATATATTTATAAATAGTATTAATAATAAAATATCTTCATTACATTAGAATTAATACAGTAAAATTTTAATAATCCAATTTAAAATATAATTGTATTAAAATTATTAAAATTATAAATAAGATTATTATTGTAATACAATATAATCATTTTTTATATCTGATTTTTTAAATTATTTTTTAATTATAACAATGATAATTTAAAATTGTCAGTGATGTTTAAAAAATTATTATTATTATAAATGATACATTATATTTTTTATAATGTTTATATAAATTTATTTTTTTAGTAATTTTAAAAAATAATTTTTACACCAGTCACTTTTTAAAAAAAGTCAATCCATCCTACTCATAAATTATTATTTTATAATTTAATTTTATAATATAATTTAGACTTTAACTATTTTAAGTTATCAAATAGAAAATAAACAAAAATTATTTTATTTAATATTTGTATATTTAATTTGTTTAAATATTTTTTTTAAACATCTAAATATCAATTTTCAAAAAAAACTTGAAAAGTTTTGTTTTCTGAAATCTATACGAGCCTTTTTTGTGTGTGTGTGTGTGTGTGTGTAGCAATTTTTTTGCGAATTTTGAAATTCTGACTTCAGATTCGGTTAGAGGACTACTAATAATGTATTGAAAAGTTGAATTAAAATTTTGATATTTCTTCGGGAACATGGACAAAATGGCTGCCAAAGTAAAAAAAATTTTAAGAAATTTTTTTAAAGTATAGATTTGAATAAAGCATCAAAAACAAGCATAAGAAATATGCATTAAAATTTTGATCTCTTCGGGATCATAAAGAAAATGGCGGCCAAAGTAACAAAAATTAGGTAAAAATTTTAACGTTTAGAATTGTAAAGAGCATCAAAAAAATGATATAATATTTCAGCATATTTTTTTTAAATGGCGGCAAAAGTATAAAAAAATTTTATTTAATGTATATTTGACCAGTTTTTAAATTTTTATATATTATATAGCCGCTATAACTAATGGTTTTCAATGCTATTCAAGTTTTTTTTCTGAAAATGCTTTCTAGCATTCTTAACTGGTTTATTATCGAATGTTTTTTATAAATATTTGTTTTATTTTATTTATAAACTTAATTAATGTTAAGTAAATTTATAATAACAATATTTTGATATTTATATATTATATATATTATATATATTAAATTTAAGTACATATTCTAGGAATTACTATGCAATTATGTTAATATAAAAAATATTATTTATTTTTTTTATAAAAATGTTGTTTAATAGTATTTACAGTATAATACACAATTAGGTAATATTATTGTTAATATATATATTTATTTATATTTGTTTTATTTGATTAAATAAATTAATAATAAAAAATTTCAATTTTTCAATAATTATATTTTGTTAAAATTCCTATTATATTTGTAAAATAAAATCTAGAAAAAAATTAGTTTTAATTAAAACAGATGAAAATTTGCTGATAATATTTGTAAAATAAACAATGAAAATCATTTTTGTCAATTAGTGTCTATAATAATACATTATATTATATTTTATTTTATACGTGTTTAAGTTGTTTACGTATATAAGTGTTTATTTAAATTATTTATATTTTCATTATAACTATATTAGACAATAATATATATTAATTTAGTTTTATTTAGTAATTTTATGAGATATTAGAAGAAAATTAATAATAAACAATTAGAAATTATTTTTTATACAGTATTTACAGTTAATTTAAACATATATTTTATAAAAAAAATAACATTATTATTATTATTAACAATTAATTTGTGTTTTACACACCATTTTTATTAGTAAAAATTATAAAATAAATTTATTTATTTTTTTTATTGAGAAATTATTTCTTAGTTCAAACTAATCAATTACAAAATTTTAAGTTACAAAACAATACCAGTTGAGAATGCTATAAAGCATGGATTATTAGTAATATGAGTTAACAAAATATAAATTAATTTCTTAAAAAAAAAATTATAATTCTCAATGATTATATATTAGTTATAGAGTAGGACTTAACATACAAAACTTAAAATTAACTAAACTAAAAAATTTGTTTTTAGTTTTACAATGAATATCATAATATCATATTTATTGCTGATATTTAATTTTAAACTAATTACAACTCTAATAATTGTCTATCTAGTTTACAAACTAATCAAATTTTATTATATACATTATTTTTATCTACCACCTGGACCATTTCCATTGCCTATAATTGGAAATTTATTATGTAAGTTAGTTTTTTGTAAATTAATAGTACTGTAAATCATTTATTTATTACTATTAATTAATTAAATAAATACAATATATAATTACCGGTAATTATAAAATTATACTATTTATAAAATTATACTATTTATAAAATTATACTATTTATAAAATTATACTATTTATAAAAATAGTGCTCAAAAGTAAATTACATGTAAATGATTTGGCCAGCAAATATTTTCACAAATATGGACCCGTTATTACTATATATTTTTCAAATAAACCGCAAATATTTATCGCCAATTTAGACATTGCCAGACATGTATTCAATGGACCGGATGTTGCCGGCAGACCAAACCTTTATCTCAGTAATTATTTTTATTTAATTTATTTATTTTTTCTTATATTTAAAAAAAATTAATTATTATATTTGTACACAATACCACCAAAAAAACATGTACAAAATGTGTATTTAATTTTAGTTTTAAAAAAAATAAAATTTCAGCCAGTGCATTTTCAATAGATAATATACAGCCAGTTGCATTATCCGATTATAATGATTCATGGAAACAACGTAGAAGTATTGAACATATGTGTACAGTGTATGTATTAGACATATAAATTAATTTTTTTTAAATAAAATAAAATAAATAATAGTAATATACTTTTTTTTAAAAAAAAATTATAATTAGAAATATGTCAAAATCGGATAACTTTGAAAAAATAATTGTCAATTGTGTCGACAAAACAATTGAATCAATGCTTGTTAGTGAGGGTCCGGACAAATCTATAATGCCATTGGATTACATTTATTTGATGTTTTTTAATATATTAAACTCCAGTTTAATTGGAAAAACGTAAAATATTATTTATTTATTTTTTTAATGAAAATTAATTTAATCTAATATATTTATAACAATTATATATTAATAATTCTATTGTTTATAATTATTTATATGATATATATATATATTAGATACACTTTCGATGATTTAATATTCAAAAAAATCAAGTATTTGTTGCGGGATTTTAATGCCAATTCGGGTAATCGTATAGCTTTATGGCAAGGTTTCCCATTAATCCAATGGATTGACTATAGATTAGTTAGAAAACATTATCAACTGTTTGCCGAATGTCGGTCATTGATTGCCGACCAACTGGTCGATCGTTATAATCATTTTGTTGGCGACTATAGTAACGATAGTAATTGTTTTCTTAGCAATAATGATGATGACGACGGTAACCACGAGGGTATTATTTGCGATACACTGGTCAGGGAGTATAGTAAGGGCAGGTATCGGCGGTCTAAAACTAATTCAATTCAAACTGACCACAATTTGCGAACAACAACACAATTACAAGCAAATACCGATTCACTGATACAGTCGTCGATGTTTAGTCTGATAGTCGGCGGAGTCAACTCATCGCAACTGGTCTTTCAATGGCTGCTACTATTGTTAGCCTATTATCCCGTTAGTCAACAAAGATTACGATCGGAAATTAGCCGCAAAATTGGCGACCGATTGCCCAGACATACAGATAGACATCGGTGTCATTATGTGATGGCATTTATAGCCGAAACGTTGAGATTTAGAAATCCGGCCGCTTTTGGTGCACCACATAATACATTGCGAGAAACAAAAATTGGTAAATAATTATTTTATATAACTTTATATATATATAAATTTAGTTTTTATAATAATAATCATCTTATTATTATTTGTTGACATTTAATATATATATATATCAGTCACAGGATTTTTCACACTTATATGTTATTTTATTTGCTCTAATCTTATATATAATTTAAATATAAGATACACACAAAAAATATGTGCCATAAAAGTGATCGCCATTTCAAACAACACATTGAATATAAATTTAATTAATTATAAATTTGTTTAATAAGTTATTTTAATAGATGTGAATAAAATATTACAACAAATGATTGCAATTTATTAAAAATTATTGATAACTAATATTATGACAATAAATGTAAAAATTATATGTGCAATATAAGTGAACAATTTCAAGCAAATATACAATATTTAATAGTTTTTAATTTATATATATATGTGATGTCAATAATTGCAATTATTGAAAATTCTGAAAATGGCGGTCAACGTACAAAAAAATTTAAAATAATGTTTAAAGTATAAATTTGAATAAAGCTTCAAAAATAAGATATATATTTAGGAACATATATAAAATGGCGGCTAAATTACCCAAAATAAGTGATATGGAATTAGCATACAAATTTTTATATCTTAAAGAAAATAGAAAAATGAAGGTTGAATTAATACTTTTTAAATTAAGCTAAATTTTGATTAAATATAATAATTTATTTGAGTTATTTTATATAATATATTAATAAAGTATAGTTTATTATGTCATACTGAATCATTTGATTTTAATTAATTTTTAATTCGGATTATGAGTTCTTATGGAAATGCTTTCTAGCATTCTCAACTGGTATTATATGGAAATTTTTTCTGTGAAGTTTATTAAATAAAATTTATTTTTTGGCGCGAACTGAGATCCGGTCTTAGATATATATATTGTAGTTAAATTAATTAAGTTTTTTTTATAATTTAAGTTTTTATATAATTTAATTTTTTATATAATTTAATTTTTTATATAATTTAATTTTTTATATAATTTAATTTTTATAATAATAACAATAATAAGATTCATGGTATTATTATAACATTATTATATTTAATCTTTATTTTTTAGAGAGAGAGAGAGAGAATAACTAATTTTTCGATATTTTTATATAGATTTTTCAATTAATTTTTAATTAATTAATTAACTTAATTACCTAAAATCTATTTTTTAGATAAATGGACAGTACCCAGTGGTACGGTAGTTAATTTTTTTCAATCATATGTTTTACTTGAAGACAAACATTTTCCAAATGGCTCTGACTTCCTTCCCGACCGTTTTATCGATAGTGATGGCCATTATCTAACAAATCCATCGCATCCGTCATTCATACCCTTTGGTGTGGGACGTCGTCAATGTTTGGGCATCAAGTATGCCATCGCCGAAATGTTTTTAGTTTTGGTCCGATTTCTACAATCGACTCAAGATTATGATATTGTTTTGGACAGTCATAATGGTATACAACCCAATCCTATGGTTGTCGGTACTGTTAATCCAAATGATTTTACTATTATATTGAAATCTAAATAAATTATAAGAAACAGTTTATTATTATTATTTTATTTTTAAAAAGTTTTTAAAAAATAAAAATAATATAATATATTAAAAAAATAACTTAAATTTATTTTACTGATATTAACAATTATTAAAATTTATTAGTAAATTAATTATTATTTAGAAAGCTTTTGCTATTATTATATAGGGTCAATAATAAATAATTTTAGATAAATTAAATTTTTAAATAATTATTAGTTATCAATTAATAATTATTTGTATAATTATATTTTAATTTATTATAATGTATTCACAATAAAAATATATTTTTAATAAAGTATTTTAGCTATTTTTAATTGATTTATACAATTAAAATTTTAATTTGTTAAATTATTTCAAAATAAAATTTATAAGATAATAAAAATTAACAATTTTTTTAATTATTTATTTAGTTTAATGTTTTTCAATAATTTAAATGAATAAAAGATATGAAACTTATATTTTATAATACATAGTATTGTTATAAAATTTAATAATATCTAAAAATTGAGTTAAATATGGATTCATGTTTTTTTAATTAATTAAAAATTTAAACCATAATTTCCAATATTATTTAGTTTATTAATATATTTTTCGTATAATTAAATTTTATTTAAGATAATTTGTTTATAACAAAATTTTTATTTATTAATCATTAAAAATGTTGTTGTATATAATTAATTTCATATGATTATTACTTAATTTTTATAATTAAAGTAAAAATAATAATATATGTAAAAAATCATAATTTAGTATCATAAATCATAATCATAAATAAGTTAATAAAATTTCTAATAATAGTAACATAACAATTTATTTATAAATTTATTTAGTTAAATGTACAAATAGTTATATATATATATAACTAAATATTAACTAAATATATTTACTTATTTATTAAAAAAGAAAACAAAAAACTATGAATATAAAATATTTATCTTGATTAATTTTTTTTTAAAAAATAATAATAATAAACTGTTTCTTATAATTTATTTAGATTTCAATATAATAGTAAAATCATTTGGATTAACAGTACCGACAACCATAGGATTGGGTTGTATACCATTATGACTGTCCAAAACAATATCATAATCTTGAGTCGATTGTAGAAATCGGACCAAAACTAAAAACATTTCGGCGATGGCATACTTGATGCCCAAACATTGACGACGTCCCACACCAAAGGGTATGAATGACGGATGCGATGGATTTGTTAGATAATGGCCATCACTGTCCAGAAAACGGTCGGGTATAAAATCCGAGCCGTTTGGAAAATGTTTGTCATCAAGTAATACATATGTTTGAAAAAAATTAACTACCGAACCACTGGGTACTGTCCATTTATCTAGAAAATTAGATTTTAGGTATTTAATTAAATGAATTAATAAAATATAGAAAAATTAGTTTTTTACTCTCTCTCTCTCTCTCTGTCTCTCTCTCTCTCTCTCTCTCTCTCTCTCTCTTTCTCTAAAAACTAAATATTAAATATACTACTGTTATAATAATAATAATAATTAGATGATTATTGTATGAATGTAAGTATAAATACTGTTGTAATAATAACGTGAATATTATTATTGTTATTATTATAAAAATTAAATTATTTATAAACTAATTAATATAAAATCTAATTAAACTTAATTAATTAATACCGTATATATATAATATATATTAAATATTGATTAATTATAATAGTTGATTAAATATTATTATTATTATTATAATTTTATTTTATTTATATACAATATATATATATATATATATATATATATATATATATATATATATATATATATATATATATAATACATAAATAATTTACCGATTTTTGTTTTACGGACAGTTTTATGTGGTGCACCAAAAGTGGCCGGATTTCGAAATCTCAACGTTTCGGCTATAAATGCCATTACATAATGACACCGATGTCTATCTGGATGTCTGGCCAAACGGTCGCCAATTTCGCGGCTAATTTCCGATCGTAATCTTTGTTGACTAACGGGATAATAGGCTAACAATAGTAGCAGCCATTGAAAGACCAGTTGCGATGAGTTGACTCCGCCGACTATCAGACTAAACATCGACGACTGTATCAGTGAATCGGTATTTGCTTGAAATTCAGTTGTCGTCGATGTCTTGACTATTGACCGCCGATGTCTGCCCTTACTATACTCCCTGATCAGTGTATCGCAAATTATATCGTCGTGGTTAGCATCATCATAATCGTCATCATTATTGTTAAGAAAATTAATACTATCGTTACTATAGTCGCCACCATTAGCATAGCGATCGACCAGTTGGTCGGTAATCAATGACCGACATTCGGCAAACAGTTGATTATGTTTTCTAACTAATCTATAGTCAATCCATTGGACTAATGGACAAATTTGCCATAAAAATACACGATTACCCGAATCAACGCTAAAATCTCGTAACAAATACTTGATTTTTTTGAATATCAAGTCATCGGAAGTGTATCTATAAAAATAAATTATAAACAATAGAATTGTTATTATTATATAATTTTACATCTATTAGCTTAAATTAATTTTTTGTTAAAAAAAATAAATAATATTTTTACGTTTTTCCAATTAAACTGGAGTTTAATATATTAAAAAACATCAAATAAATGTAATCCAATGTCATTATAGATTTATCGGGACCATCGCTTGCAAGCATTGATTCAATTGTTTTATCGACACAATTGGCAATTATTTTTTCAAAATTATCCGATTTTGACATATTTCTAATCAATTTGTTTTTTTTAAAATAGATTACTATTATTTATTTTATTTTATTTATAATATATATATATATGTATAATACATACACTGTACACATATGTTCAATACTTCTACGTTGTTTCCATGAATTATTGAAATCGGATAATGCAACTGGCTGTACATTATCTATTGAAAAGGTGCTGGCTGAATTTGTTTTTTTGTAAAAAAAATAAAACTAGTAAATTTAATAAATAAATAAATAAAATTAAACTACATTTAATTCTACAAACTAAATAATTTATTTATATATTTTTTGTTGTTGTATATTAAATTAAAAACAATATAAAAAAATTTATTACCGAGATAAGTTTTTGGTCTGCCGGCAACATCCGGTCCATTGAATACATGTCTGGCAATGTCTAAATCGGCAATAAATATTTGCGGCATATTTGAAAAATATACCGTAAAAACGGGTCCATATTTGTCAACAAAGTTGCTGAATGTGTCGTTTATATGTAATTTATTATTAAACACTATATATATATATAATATATAAATAATACAATTTTTATTATATGCAGTATATATATATATAAATTAATTAATTAATAGACCTTAAATATCAATTTAACTAAATGATTTATTGGTTAGTTGACCAAAAAAAAACTAACTTACATAATAAATTACCAATTATAGGCAATGGAAATGGTCCAGGTGGTAGACAAAAATAATGTATATAATAAAATTTGATTAGTTTGTAAACTAGTTAAACAAATAGTAGTGTAGTCAATAGTTTATAATTAAATATCAATAATAAATATGATATTATGATATCCATTGTAAAACTAAATTTATTTATTTGAAGTTTTATGTGTGTGTGTGTGTGTGTGTGTGTGTGTGTGTGTGTGTGTAAAATCCTACTCTATAACTTTTATTTAATAGTTTTTAATTACAAATAATTAATTACATAAATTAAATTATTATCTATATAATATCTCAATTTGTATTTACTAGTCTCAACTAATAAATATATAATCATGGTGAATTATAATTTTTTTTTCAGAAATTAATTTATATTTTGTTAACTCATATTACACTTATAACTTTGTAACTATATAATAATTTCGAAATAATACATAATAGATAGATTTTATTATATTATTTTTACAATCAAAAAAAATATTTTGCAATTCACAAAATAAATATTAATAATAATAAATAATTCTATTAAATATATGTTAAATTAACTGTAAATACAGTACATATAAAAAAAATTTTATTACTAATTATTTTCTAATATTTAAGAAAAAAATTACTAAATAAAACTAAAGTAATATATATTTTTGTCTCTAATATAATTTGTTATCTTGATAAACTAAAAATTAGTTACACACTTATTATAATATAAAAACTATTGTCATATATATTATTTAAAAAAATTTATAAAATATATTTTAAATAAATATTATGTTGAACTACTAGTTGACATATTATTTTTAAAAAATATAATTAATAAAATTTTCAAAATAAAATTAATATAAAATCTAAATAATTAATTTTAAAAATCACATTTATAGTTTTTAAGTAATTTATCATTTATTCATAATTAGTATTTCAAATAAATAAAAATATTTTTATAAAAAAATCTATAATTGTTTATAAATAAAAAAAAAATTGTTTAAATAATTATTATTATAATCTAATTAAAAATCACACTATTTGTTAAAAACCTATCTTTTTGTTTAATTTATTTTTTAATTTATTTTTTAAAATACTGTAACTAATTTTTTATTAATTTTATTAATTTATTAAAATATTAATCGAAAAATATTAATAGATTAACGACAAGTACTAACTTTTAGTTATTAATTTATAGTATTATTGAGAAATAAAAATATTTAACTTTTTCAAAAAATTAATTTCAAAAACACATTATTTTAGTAAATAATATATATATATCATATATATATATATTATCATATAGTCTATCATATAGATTATTATTATATTATATATGATGTTTACTAAAAGTATACAATATATTATTGGGTAATAATTATAAATTAATAAATATATTAATTAAATAAATATTAATTTATCAAAAAAAAATCATTTATAATTATAACAACAATTTTATTTTAAAAAAATTACAATTTTAGCTATAAAAAGATATAATTATAATTATTAAATAATTGTCTTATAATTTTTTTATTTAAATAAGATTTAAATAAATATAATTTATTAAACAACAATATAACATAGAAAAAAAACATTGTAAATTTTTATAGTATTAATTTATACAAAATAAATTTTTATCAATTATTTTTACAACTAAATTATTAGATAATAAACAAACAAACAAATATATAAATATTTTTAACATTAATATAATAAAACTAGAAATTTAATTATTGATAATAAAACATTTTTTATTTTTTGAAATTTATAATAATCTAACAATTTTTGTCAATAACTTATATAATATATTTGACCCATACCCTCCCTCCCCTCCCCATCCCTTTTGTGATTTCTATCTATTATGAGTTTGACCAGTTTGGTATTGTTGACTGGGTTGGCTTTGTTCAAACCCTGATGATGGGGCACCTGTAGTTTGTTGTTGTTGTTGTGGTTGTTGGTGGTGATGGTGGTAGTGGCCAGTTGTTTGTGAGTACAGTGAGTTTGGTTGACTTTGTCGATAACCTGTTTGATGGCCAGTATATTGTTGTTGTTGTTGTGGTTGATACGGTTGAGGACTACCTGTGCCAGTATATTGTTGCGACGGTATTGGTTGACCAGGTAGTTGTTGACCATTGCCTCCTGAAAATGGTTGCGGCATTTGTATACCGATTCCCGAATACGGTTGTATTGACTGCGACGGCTGATAAATTGATTGCACTGATGGTAGTGGTGGTGGTGGTGGTGGCGCACCAGTAGTTTGCTGTCCACTACTATAATTAGGCATAGAGTTGTTGTTTGAGTTTGCTTGATATGGTGGCGGAGGTGTCGTATGTTGAGGATATGGATAAGCACCGGGTGTTGCTGGTCCTGGCGGGAGGTGGCCAGCACTACTGGGATTATATGGTGGCGCATATGGTACCGATTGTTGTGGAGGTGGAGGAGGATATCCCTGAGCAGGTGCACCAAAATTGTTATACTGTGGTGGAGGAGGAGGAGGAGCATAGGTGGTTCCCATTGAAGGTAGTGGTGTCTGTACTGGCCATTGCTGTGGTCGGACACCACCGCTACCTCGTCCACCAAACTGATTGCCAGCCCTCACACAACGGGGCTTATCGATGACCATCTGAGGAGACACCGGGATTGTACCCGAATATACATACAGATCCTGTTTGACTGGTCTGAGTCGGTTCGGATCCAATTGATTCGTATAGACTACCACACACTCGTCGGCCGAATTATGACGTCCCGATCGCTGACCGTGAATGCTATCGACTATTTCGGGCCGAAAGTGTTGGCTCGGATCCATTGAGCTCAGATAGACACCTACCTGGCCGTACTGGTCGGACCGTTTGCCCGGTACAATCATCGATGAACTACGTATACATTGGGCACCGTTAGATGTGGTGTAGTGGTACAGTGTTTGCGGTGTAATTGACAATTGTTGGCCAGTTTGTTGATAATTAGGATACTGGTGCTGATGATGATACATATTAATCTGTATTATAGTATTAAAAAATATATAGTTAGAAAATTTAGCAATCTAAATAAAATTATATAAATTAATTTTAGCTAGTTAAACATAAAATTGTAAATATATATATATATATATTTTTAAATTTAAGTTATTAATAAATAGTTTTTTATCAGTTACACTTACCATGATGATTTTTGAATTAAAAATCTATAATAATATTCAATAATATATTAGTCAGTAATCAAATAATATAAATACCAAAAAAATTGATGTTTTTATTTATTTTTATAAAAACTACATATATTTAACTATACAATAAATATTTTATAATAATATTCAATATTATTTTCAGTATATTATTATTATTATGTTTTCAATGTTAATATAATTACAAAACAATTTAATATTATAATAAAATGTAGAAATGCAATACATATACAGTGATTTTATTATATTTATAAGTAATATATTTATAAAAACATAATTTTTTATTTACGATAATGCAATCTAAAGTATAATAAAATGTTTAGTATATTTGTGTGTGTATATATATATAAATTATTTTTTCAAATTGCCTTTAAGATTAGATTATTTTTTATTTATTAATGATACAACATTTACTTACAAATTACAAACAGTATTTATAGATATAATATTTTATCAAATTTTTTTTCATAGATTTATGATAGTGTAATGCAATAATAGAATTGTGTGTAAATTATATATATATATATATATATATATATATATATATATATATATTTAATTTATTAAGATAGCGTTTTTTATAATAATATTTTTTTTAATAATAATATTTATATATATTATAATTACTAATAATATAAAATTTTTAAAATATAAATTATTATTATTAATAATAAAAAAGATATAATTAATTTTTATTTAATTTAATTTAATTTACAATAGTAACATTAAATAAAATACTTTATTTATTTTTAGTAAAAACATAATTTATTGAAACAATATAAATAAATATATTTAAATTATTGTTTTTTTATATTAATATTAATAGTATTTATTATACTGTATAATAACATAGATAACTTTGCATGATTATAATAATTACTAAAATAAATACAAAATTTTTTTTTAAAGAGAATTCGTATTTATACTAATAATATTAAATTAATTATTTCATAAATGATTTAATACTATAATTTTTGTAAATTTACAGTTTTTTTTAAAAATATTGTTAAATATTATTAATATACTATTGATTCTACTGTATAGAAGTTATCAATTATTATCTATTTATTTTTTTTTTTTGAAAATAACGACACACTAAATATTATTCAATATTTATTTTATAATACATTTACTTATTTTAAGAAATAGTTAATAATAAAAAAATTATTATATATTAATCAATTGTGAATTCATATAATTAATATATATTTTTATTACATGCAATGCAAACATTACAACATTAAAAAAATATTTTTAAAATAAAATAAACTGTAAATTTATTTTTTTTAAATATAATATTAAATGACTTAACTATTAAAATTAATCATTGATTAGTTATTTTACAATTTAGATCATTACATTAAAATTATTTTTGCATTTATATATTGAAGACAAATTCATAATATTAAATAAACATTAAATAAATATTTATTTTTTTAAATAAACCTTTTTTGTATATTATCATTTAATAAAAATAAAATTAGACAATTTTTCTTTTAAAAAATATTATTATTATATAAATAATATTATTATTATATAATTATTATTGTTTGTTGCTGTAAGGCGCTGCTAATCTATAAATAAAATAATAAAAAATCATTTAATATGATTTTTTTTATCAAGTATTACAGTTTTTTTTTGTATAAATATATTAGTAATACAGTAGCAAAATTACTTACAAATAATTATCATTAATATTAGCAATCAATCGACTGTCTATTTATTAATAATATTTTTTTTTAAAAACATTTTTAAAAATAAAATACTAATTTAATTAACTTTATTATAGTCCAGCACCTGTAGGCACCTGGGTATTATAACAATACAATATTAATAGAAAATAATCTAGATAAATTTTATAATTAGTAATAACAATAATAATAATGATTATAATAAACAATTAGAATAATAACAATTTAAATAATATTAATTATATAAACTATATAAAATAATAACAATAATTATTAACTAACAAAGAAAATTTTTAACAATTAAATTAATCAAAAAAATAAATTATAACAACTATATAGTGTATAAAAAAATATTATACATAAAATAGTTAATACTGTATAATAACCTATTGTTATAATCAATGCCCGTTTGCGGGCACTGTCTATAGTACTATCGGATTCATTGAGTAGATATCGACGAATACCAATGTATAGACAATGCATATATTGTTTCCAAACTATTTGTCTAATATCTGAATAATATATTAGTTGATCTTCAGGGGACAGTTGGCTATAAATTGATGGATAGTTATCCGTTTGAAATATCCATTCATTGGTTAGAAAATATTTATAAATATTTACAGATGAATGTAATTTTCTAACTAATCTAATCAGTGACAATTTACTACCGGCGCTACCGCTACCGATGCCGATGCCATTGATCATAGCTATCGACGACTGTATAAAATCAATACAATAAGCAAATAGTGTTTCCGATAGGAAACAATTTAATTGATATTTAAGGCGATCTAAGCGGCAAACAATTGGTTTAGACATTATGTTGACGGCTGGCCTAAGCATACGTATGGACGGCGCCGAACATATCGACGGCAATAGATAGCCGCATAACTGGCGCCATGTTATCGGATTCAGTTGACCGCTGGCCAAATTGATGACCCGATATCGATGATCATCATCATTGGCATTACTAGCCGTATGCCATCCAATTACAACTAAACTATTAGTTAATATGTCGACTAAAAAAAATGTATATTAAAATATTTAAAAATATTTTTTTTATTAAAAAAAATTGTTATCATTATTTTTTTATCTGATAATAATATAAATTATACTGATTTTAATTATTTAGTTTTTTTTAAATTATAGTTTCTATACTAACCAGGAATTATATCACTTTTTCCATCTATCAAAACTAGAGAGAGAGAGAGAGAGAGAGAAAGAAAGTTATTATTAAAATATTAATTAAATAATTTTATTTTTTAAATATATTGAAAATTTTTAATTTTTATTACATTGACAATTGCGTACAATACCAATTGCTGCCAAAAATATTATGCCAATAATACCATTATGATTATCAATCCAACCTAAAAACAAATAATAGATATATTTATTATTATTATTATTATTATCAAAAAAAAAATTATATAAATTTTTGTTATATATATATATATACCAGGAATCGGCTCTTTGAAAGCTGACGTTACAATAGATGGCCTAACGATGACAACCGGCAAATGCGAGTACTGTTCAGTTATGAGATTTTCGGCAATAGCTTTGCTAAACGTATAGGGATTAGGCCTGTCGTCCATTAGGTCAGTCATGTCGGACGGCACCGGCGCCGTCGATGTCTTACTGGTGGCGGATAAGCCATAACTTTGATCACCGATTGAGCCATCGATGGCGGCGATTATGTCCGAAGCGGTGTGTTTTAATTTGTAGACACTTTCGCCGATAACTTTCATATTGCAGTTACTATAAGCTGTCGATACATAAATAACTGCCTGTTTTTTTATATACAAAAATTAAATCAAATATACAGTAATTAATAGTAGATTATAGTTAGGGGTTTGTAATGGGAGGGAAGTTCCCTAATAAAAAAAATTTCTCCAATTTTTCCCGGAAAAATAGGTAAAAATACTTATTTTCCCTCCCATTAGAAGGGAAAATATAATTTATATTATTATTATTACTATAAATAATACCAAAATTGAAAAATATTATCATTTATCATTATTATCAAATAAAATTTAATTGAAATACACAACAACAACAACAAAAATAGATTTTAAATCCAAAAATTTCAAAAATTAATATTATTATACTATTACAAAAATAGTTTTAAAATAACATTTGTATTCAACAACAATATATATATATATATATAATAACAAAAATGTTTTGATTATGGGGGGGAGGGTTGATAGGTGATAGCAGCACTAGGAAATAGATTTCACTGGGAATTCCCAGTGGGATATATATGAACTTTTTTTTATAGGAAAATATGTAGAGGGTAGGGAACATTATTATTTAAAAAACCCTAATTATAATATAAAGATAATTTAATTAATTAATTTTATATATATACCTCTAATTTTGTTAGTTTTTCGCACAATCGCATCAATTCATTGGTACCCAAAACGTTTTGTCTGATAAAACAATCAATAGGTCCCATAAATTTGATTGAAGCGGCCAAATGAAATACAACCGATACTTCATCGATGATAACCCGTCTATCATTATCAGATAATCCTAGACCTGGTTGACTAATATCACCGGCGATGGCAACCAATTTCAACCGATTGTTAACATTATTGAAATACTGGTTGTTATTCAATGAAAATATTTTTGAATTAATAATTTCTTTATTCAGTCTGTCATTAGCCGATTGATTACCGGTTGGTCTCAACAATAGATAAATAGTTTTCAGCTGAAGACACGATCGGATCAGTTTCTCGCATAAAACTTTGCCAACAAAACCGGTACCACCAGTGATAAGTACCGATCGGTTTGAATAATATCTATTTATTTGCGATAATTCATTCATTATTTATTTTTATTTAAAAAAAATATATTTCAATAATTTCTATATTAAAGGGTTTTGAACAAATCAGCGACAAAATAAAACTAATATATTATTTTATGTTTATTTTTTTAATTAATAACTTTATAAAAAAATTTTCCATTTTTTTATTATGCAATAACTGCACATATTTTTTATTATGCAATAACTGCACATATATTTTTTTAATTTTATTAATTTTACTTAATATCATAAATTATATATAATTTATTGTAACTTATATGTATCAATATATATAAATATTTTATATTATTTATTAGAGATTTATAATTTATCACAACCCAGATGCATTATTTAGCTTTTAATTAATTTATTTTTTGTTATATAATTATTGTTTCAATAATTTAAAATATCTAAAATCTATTTAAAAAATTTAATATTTAATAGTTTATGATTATTGTTTTTTATTAATTAATATAATTTTTTTTATTTACATTTTTATAAAATATAAATAATAAAATATATAATTTATAAAATTATTTTATTTAAATAACTTAAATAATTAAATATTATACAAAATAAAATAAATCAGAATCCTAAAAAAATAAAATTATTAATTTAAATCTATTAATTTGAATAAACTATTAGTAAATATTTTAAACTTAACAACAACAAATACAAAAATATTATAAATTTTTAACATAAAGTTGAAAATTAAATAATATTAAATCATCTAGCTTAAAGTTTTATCTCATAGTCATATTAAACGCCATTTTTTAGTATTAATATTTTACAAAAAAAAAATATTTATATCAATATAAATTATTTGATTTAGATAGTTAATTAATAATTATAATGGTAATTTTTTTAATTGATTAAAAAAATATATTTTATATATATATATAAACTTATTGTAGAGTTCATCGCTAACAACAACACCGACATCGGTGCCGACCGTACTATACCATTACACTACCAGTGCCGGTGCCCAAGGTATCAGACAGTCAGGTTATATCAAACAGTCAGTCAGTAGCGGTAGTTTTGGATCGGGTGTCTATATGACCGCATTGAATCCCCATCGATACTATCGTAACGAAATTGTCGATAATAATTACGGCACCGGTATTAGCCGTAATAATCATGCCGATTGGGTAGTCTACGTAAAAACTGATAGACTAAGCAAAAATAAGCTACACTGTGTGACTACCGGTGCCAATCAGGATATCTATCGATACGATGGCGACATACAGGTATCGGCTGGGGATATACATGATAAGCCCCGGTGCTTGAAGACCGGTAGTGTTAAAAACAAGCCAAAGTCGTCGACAATCACTATATCTTATACAGCTATCAAACCAGTGGCTAATATGGTATATACTGTATATATTGATGGCTTATATAGTTATTTAAAACAATTATTATTATTATTATTATTATAGACCGTACCCGACAAACTGTATCATTATGTTTGTACTGCCGACGCCCAGACCATCAGAAACAACAAACAGATACTGCCGTCTAGTATATCGGGACAGTCGTCAGGAGTCATCATCGGCAATGGTATACTACTTTCGTCAATGAATCCCAACCGATACTATCGTAAGGAAATCCTACAGGATATCTATGATGACCAATGTCCGGCTAACTGTGCCGACAATGTTGTTGTGGTGGTATCGGTTAACCAATTGATCGACATTAACAAATTGTTTATGTTTGAACGGTGCCCGTGGAAATCGGATTTATTTTATTACAATGGAGGCGTATTACCAGTTCAGCCAAACAATGTCATGGATAAGCCTCGTTGTGCTAAACCAACTAAAAAATAATAATCATTTTTATTTTTTTAACAATTAACTAAAAAAAATTTTTATAAAAATAATTACTTAAAAATACAGAAAATATTTAATAATCTTATAAATTTATGATACTTTTAATGATATGATATGATAAGGTTATTAAAAACATGAAATTTTTTAAATATTAATAATAATTTTTTTTCTAAATACAGTATTAATAATTTGAAACTTCATATTATAAGATAATACATAAAATAAATATAATACTATTTAAAAGATTATATGAAAAAATTTATTATATATCATATTTTTCTAATATTAAATTATTAGATATTGTCTATAAAAATAGATAAAAAAAATTATTATTATTTTTTTTAAAAATATAGTATAATAAATTATAATTGTTTTAATATTCAATTATTAAGTTTATAACATAACTAATTATAAATTTATTTGTATTAATGTATTATAAGTACTTGTTTTTTATCATTAAGGTTATTGTAAACATTTAAAAAAAAAAATATATATATATCAATTTTTCAACTATAACATTATTACTAGTAGTATAAATAAAATATAATACTTTCCTTAAATTATCAATTTTTATATTATTATTATTATTAAAATCATTTACAATAATTAATAATAATTAATTTTTTGTAGTTACAATTTTCGTAGAAATTATTAAATTTGTTGAATATTTTTATTATAAATAATTATTATAATGATAATAATGTAGATAATTCAAAAAACAAACTGATTAGATAACTATTTATATATAATAAATAATATAATAAATATACTGTAGTTTACACTATTATTTTTTTATGTCTATATAATCATATGATGTAATTTTATCAAAAAAATTTTATAATATTAATAATACTGTAATACTATATGATATATAAATAATTTATTTTTTCCAATTTCTGATAATGTAATACAGTCTTAATATTTTTAATTACTTTATGTTTAAATAAAATATGTTTGATTGTAATGTACTTTATATATATGCATTGAATCATTAGTATTAATGTATAATCATTTAAAACTTTTTATATATACAAATAAAATACAGTGAAAATGTTATCATTGAAAATAATAAATGTTTTTTGATTTTTGAATTATCAATTAAATACTTGTATTACTATACATAACAACATTCAAGTGGGATGTTTAAGAAAAATAAAATATTAAAATTTTTATTATATTTTATAACTTATTAATAAAAATTATGTTAATTTAATTTTAATTTAGTTTATTAGTTGATTAGTTAATTTTTTTCAATTAATTAATAAATTCAATTACAATGGTAATTATTATAATGATTGTTTTTTTATTATTTTAAATTGTTTATTTTTAAAATAAAATTATTATATTGTAGACATCATCATCATCATCATCATCAGCAACAACAACGGTGCCATCAATACTATACCACTACACTACCAGTGCCGGTGCTAAAGGTATACGGCTGGCCGGTCATATAAAAAAGTCGGGTACTAGCGGTGCATTTGGACCGGGTGTCTATATGACATCAATGGATCCGTATAGCTACTATCGCAATGAAATTGTACAAAATAATTACGGCTCCGGTAGCCGTACTAACTATGCCGATTGGGTAGTATTTATCTATACGGATAAACTGGTTAAAACTAAACTACACCGGGTAACTACCAGAGCCAATCAGGATATCTATCGGTACGAGGATGATGTCAGTGTATCGCCCAGTGATATACATGATAAACCTCAGCGCCAGAAAAAAAGTAAATCCCAGTCAACCGTTACATATAGTGGTGTTCAACCAGTGACTAACATGGTAAATTTTATTATATTTATAAAATTTATATATATAATATATACCAGCGGTTATCACTCAAGTGATTTCTGATTACTTTTGATTAAAATGCACTGTCGAAGCCTATGGTTTATTATAATATATTTGATCTAGCTCAAATAAACTGTTACATATTTATTTTAATTAAGTAGTATATTTTATTTAATATTACACAAAAAAAGATTATTAAATTTGTGTATTATAATTTTTTTGTTTTTTATCTTGGTCAGTAATTATGTTTTCAAAATAAGGGACCGTAAAATCATTTGATAACGCCTGATATATACCATTAGTATATAATAACTTTAATAGTTATCAAAATGATATTAATATAATAATATAATAAATAATTTTTTTAAATAATAATAATAATAATAATCTAATAGTATTAATATTATAAATTATTTTTTTTAATTAGTAATTTCTACTACAGTATATTTTTTTGTTATTTTTTTTAGTTATTTAAAAATAATTTAATAAATAATTTTATCAAGTTCAAGTTTATCAATATCAAATAATTATCAAGATATTATTTTTGTGGCATTAATTTATATTGTATATGCTACAAAAAAATATCTTGATAATTAATTAATTTAATTAAATATATTTAATCCAAGGAGACTGTACCCAAAACACTGTACCACTATGTTTGCACTGCCGACGCCCAGGCCATCAAAAACAACAAAAAGATACTACCGGGTCGTATAACGGGACAGGCAGCCAATGGTGTACTACTATCATCGATGGAGCCCGGCCAATTTAATCGTGACGATATCAAACAAGATATTTTTGATGGCAAGTGTCCGATCAATTGTGTCGATAATGTAGTACAGGTTGCCAGTGGCCAACTGGACAGTAGCCAATTGCACCAGTTTACCCGTCAAGGTAAATATGACCTGTACTACTACGATACAACTATAACCGTACAGCAACCGGATGTTATGGATAAGCCACGTTGTATGAAACCACGGCCGGGTAGTCAACAGCAGCAGCAGCACCCACCGTATCAAATGTATGGCCAACAACAACAGCTACCATATATGCCATACTATCCTCCACCACCTCCTACTGCCATACAATTTATTGGTGGACAGCCCTATGTGCCAATGATGCCTTATGGCAACAACTATCCACCTCCTTTTCAATATGGACAGCCACCACCACCACCACCATCATATACTAATCAATCACCTAATATGCCGCCACCACCACAACCACCACCTAATATGGCATATCCACAACAAAATATGTATAACCCATATAATAATAATAATAATAATAATAATAATCCATATCAACAATACCCTAATACATATTATCCTAATTAATAAAATTATTATATTAATACAATAAATAATATTAAAAGTAATATTTAGTATAATTATATTATTATTATTATTGAAAATTAATTTTTAACAACCAATATAATTATAATTATTATTTTTTTAAATATTTACAAACTTATCAAACTTCATCATTATGTATTGAAAACCTGAATTTTATTATATTTTATGTTAATATTAATTATAAAAAAAATATATTTGAAACTTTTTTATTTGTTTTTATTTATCTTATAAAAAACCTTGGTGCATTATTTTTTTTTGATTCATTGCTATGTTATAGTACTTGAATTTTTGTCTAATATTATAAAAATATAATCATCTAATACTTTGCATCATAATTTGTTAATTATTTATTTTTAATATATTAACTATTATATGTATGTAATATATTACAGTTTTATAATCAACTTTTTATTTTTTTAGATTTTTTTATTGTTAAATAATTTCAAACATATATTTTTTTATAAATATAAATAACAATAAATATAAATAACAATATAACCATAAAAATAATAATGTAATATAAATATAAATCTTTTTTCTATAAAAATGAATTTAATTTAAATATTTAATTAAAACTGTAAGTACAAATATTTTTTAATAATTAATTATATTTTTAAAGTTTTTAAATAAATTCCTAGGAGCTATGTCGCCAATGTTTTTGTTGCAAATATTTTTTATATACAGATTATTATATAAATTGAAATTTTAGAAAAAATACAGATATGTTATACCCAAAAAAAAAATAAAATTAAAAATAATATCATTGTTATTTTTTTAGAAATTAACTTTTATATTATCTCAAAAAAATAAAATATATTACATTTTTAAAAAGAGAAATTCAGTCTTATTTATTAAAAAAATTAAATTTCTTAATTATAATATATATATAATTATTTGTGTACTGTATTATGATTTTCCTTAAAAGAAAAAATTAATTTTTAAATTAAGAAAACTATTATCATAAATTAAAAATTAAATATAAAATAGTTTATTAATGTTTAATAATATTTTTTTTGTAAATATTGTAAATAATAATATTATATATTTATAATAACTATAATATTGTAATAATTATATTTATTAACGGTTTTGCTAAATAAAGTTATAATTATAAATAATTTTTGTTTAATTTTTTTTATAAACATATAATAATTAGTAGTAAAATAAAAATTATAAAAAATAATATACTAACATAAATTATTTATGTTTGTTTGTTCATAACTTAATTACATTTAACAAAATTATTAAAAAATATATTTTATTGTTTAATTAATTACTGTAAATTGTGTTTTTATTATTTTTATATACATAACATTGAATTGTAATAATTATAATTTTTACAAATACACTAATTAGTAAATATAAATTTATTCAAGTTATCAAAATAAATACTTTACTTTCATAATCTAAATATAATAAACTATAATTTCTTAATTATAATATAAATAATTAATTATTAATTTACAGTCTTATAATTATTTTTTTTTAGAAATTGAATTTTTAAATCAATTTTATTAATAATATTTATTTATAGTCAGTTAATAGGTTAGTGTCAGTAAAATAGTCAATAATTTAGATTTTTTTTATTATTAGATAATAATAATTTATATTTAAATAATAAATAATTACATTGATAACAAAAATGTAGTCAACAATTAAAAGCTTAGCATAAAACAACAACAAAAAATATTTATTTATTTTTTTTAAATTACAAATATATGAAATTTTAATTATAATATAAATTTTTTTTTATTATTTTATTAATTCATAATATATTAATATAATAGTTGACCTTTTTTTTAAAAATTTTTTTTACATATTTGTAGCTTGTCCATTTTGATATTGTTGACTGGGTTGTCTCTGTTCATCAAACCCCGATGATTGGGCACCTGTAGTTTGTTGTTGTTGTTGTTGACTAGTATTTTCATATTGTGGACTCAGTTGACTTTGTTGATAGCCTGTTTGATGGCCAGTATATTGTTGTTGCTGCCGATGCTGTTGAGGAAAACCAGTGCCAGTATATTGTTGTGACGGTATTGGTTGACCATTGCCTGGAAATGGTTGGGGCATTGGTATACCTGAGCCAGTATACGGTGGCATTGACTGCTGCTGCTGCTGCTGATGCATTGGTGGTCGTGGTGGTGGCGCACCTGTAGTTTGTTGCTGTCCAGTACTGTAAATAGTTGGCCCCGGGTTGTTGTTGTTGACCTGATATGGTGGTGGTGGCGGTGCAGGTGTCATATGTCTAGGGTATGGATAAGCTCCATGTGCTGGCCATTGTTGAGGCTGGCCAGTGCTCATTGGATTATACGACGGAACATATGGTACAGATTGTGGTGGAGGAGGAGGAGGAGGAGGATATCCCTGAGCAGGTGCGGGACTAAAGGTGCTAAACTGTTGAGAAGCATAGGTTGTCGATCCAGGCCATTGCTGTTGAGCTCCACCACCAACTTGATTGCCAGGCCTCAGGCACCGGGGCTTATCGATGACCATTTGTGGCGACACCGGGATTGTACCCGAATATACAAACAGATCCTGTTTGACTGGTCTGAGTCGGTTCGGGTCCAATTGATTCGTATAGACTACGACACACTCGTCGGCCGAATTATGACGTCCCGATCGCTGACCGTGAATGCTGTCCACTATTTCGCGCCGATAGTATTGGCTCGGGTCCATTGAGCTCAGATAGACACCCGGACCGTATTGGTCTAATCGTTGGCCGGGTATAATCATCGATAAACGCCGGATACCTCGGGCACCGTTAGATGTAGTGTAGTGGTACAGTGTATGCGGTGTTAACAATTGTTGGCCAGTTTGTTGTTGATGATTAGGATACTGGTGCTGATGATGATTCATATTGGGCACATTTATCTATTATGGTTAGGGTCAAAGTTCAAAATTAAAATATATTTTATTTAAATATAAAAAAATAAATAAAGTACAAATTAATTTTTTTTTAAAAATAAGTTATTAACAATTAAAACTTTATTAAACTAACCATGATGATGATGATTATTATTATTATTAAAATATTTATTTTTTTAAATAAATATTGAGTTTTAAAGTATAAATAATAAAATATACTGTTTGTATTATTTATTAAAAAACTACGTACATATTATTTTTTTTATAAAATATTTAATATTATATAATAATAATAATTTTATTACTAGTATTACAGCATATCAGCAATATTTTAGACTTTGTTTATATAATTATACTGTTTTTTTTAAAAAAATAAAATGTAGAAATTCAATACATATACATTGATTTTATTTTAGATATATTAATACTCTAGTATATATTTATAACAATTATTTAATTAATTTACGATAATGCAATGTTAGAGTATTATATATTGTATTTAATGTTTTAGTATATTTAACTTAAATGATATATTAATTGACTATTAATAATAATAATAATAATAATAGGATGACAAAAAATCATCTGGATCACCATAAATGCCAATTATACAATAACTATTACACTATTATTTATTATAACATTAATATTAATTATCAATAATAAACAATTAAAAAATAAATTTTTAAAAATAAATACTATTATATATAACTTTTATTATTGCAATCTAATAAATTAGATAAAAATAAAATTTATTAATTATTTAATATTATGTTTTATTAAAATTACAGTTTTTTAAAAATTTTATTTGAATAGATGGGAGTGGTTATCAAATATAATTTTAATGAATAAACTATCCATTAATTATAATTAAAAAAATATATTACAATCACTTAGTATTTTTTAAAATTTTAATAAGGAATTAAAATAAAAATTATACTTGATAAATTGAACAACAATTAATATTTACTCAAAATTAAAATATATATATATTTTTAAATTTTATTTGATAACCACTCAATACACAAAAAAATTAATATATAAATATTAATTAATGTTATTATCTTTTTATTATAGCTGATTTAAATGAAAATGAAAATAAACTTAAACTAAATTTTTTTATTAAACATTATAAGATTTTTTTTTAATTTTAATTTTTTTACAGTAAATGGTTTAATAATATAATGTTAGATAATATTAGAAAATTATTATATTAAAACAAATCGTTAACAACAAAAATTACTGAAAAATACACAATTATTAGCTATAATTAATCGACTATAAGTTATAAATCAAATAAATTTTTATAGACCAGCTCTGGGCATATGTGTATTGGGCACCTGTATATATCGTTCAGTCATCAGCTCATTGAGCACCGGTGAAAATTTATTAGCCCTGTCCACCAGGTTCTCAGCTATAGCACTGTCAACACTGTTGAAGCCCATCTCATTGCCGGTAACACAGTGTCCATCGGCACAGTTAGTTGTGGCCGTCAAATAACCGTTGGTCTGTTTCAATGCATCCTGTTTACCAAATACAGGTGCCGGCCTATTATGACTGACCAGTGAATCAATGATATCTTGGGTTGGATCAAAAAATGGTAACTCTATTGATGCTATTTTCTGTACGGCACTGTTATCTAACAGTTTATTGAGGCCGGAGCTGACACCGGCATTGATATATCGGTTGACAATTGCTTTGTACGGTTCCGGTGCATAAAACCCGGTACCGTATTTGACAAATTTAAAATTGACCAGTTCATGGGCACATGCATCCACGGCCATACCACACAAATAGACATCATTGGCCACAAAATTAATATAAGCTAGTATATCAAAACAGGCACCGTTAACCAATACAAATCTACCCGTCCTATCACTTTGTATATCGTGTATGGATGGTCTAGGTTGTCCCATAATTTTTTCATAAATAAAATCATCCAGTACACCCCGTTCTCTGTAGCCATGGGTAACCAAACGTCCACTGTTGTACGATTGTTGAAACTGTAGCCCAATCAGATCTACCAGATAGACCTTGACACTTTGCAATACTCGGGGTGTACCCCTTGGATAACCACCATAATGACTGGTCCTATTACGGCCTACAATAATACATTGACGAGCCAGGTCCTTAATACTCAGTATGACCTCACGGGGCAATCGGGAACCATACTGTTGAAAGTTTATACGTCCACTGGTATTACCCGATTCATTGCGGGCCAACATTACCAACTGTTTTAGTGTTAACTGGTGTCCACCGGGTATAATATAATCACGTTGGTTAGATTGCGAATCAATTAGTTTGCATGATAAACCAGTTGATCCGATAAATTTGGATAATTGCTGTAATCCTAGTTCAACCCATTCGGGTGCAACAATGCTAACCTGGCCATCCTGATAGGTTAGTTTGTATTTGTTGTGAAACAATTGATCCGGTCGTGTATATATTTGTATAAAATTAGTCCTATAAAAAAAATTAAATAATATTTATATATAAATTTTTTAAAAAATAGCAATAAAATTATTAATTAGTTTTTTTACATAACAAAATTATAAATAGTATATATATATATACTATTTAAAATATATTATAGTATATAAAAAATATATAATTATAAAAATATATATAAAAAATATATTTACATATTAAAATTATTATTTGAATTTATTGGCAATTTATTAGTTGTTAATAAATTATTGTTTCCGTATTGTTGTTGTTGTTGTTGTTGTTGTGTAGTAAATGTATTGAAATTATTTCTGAATTTATTTTATGAAAAAATTATTATTATTAAAATCGTATATTTTTAACAAAAAATAAAACTAAACTAAACAAGTAACTTTATTACTAAAATATTTTTTACTTAATGCATTTGGGCTTATCTATAACATGACCTGGATCAACACGTATTTTTCTACCCGTATAAATATAAACCAATTGTCGACCAGCTGTATGTAATTTATTTTGTTTCAATGATTTAGTCATAATATTGATACACCAATCGGCCCGATTGTCCGACGACGACGACGACGACGGGTATTGTTGGCCACCATTATTACCGTACAATTGTGACAATATTTCCGATCTATAGTAATCCAATGGTGCCATTGATGTCAATAAAATACCATTATTTATAGTTGAATATTTTATTTTGCGATCGTATTGAATATTTTGAGCACATTTAGTACTAGTATAGTAGTATAATATAGATGGTATCTATTATATTATTTTTAAAAAAAAAATATATAGAAATATTATAATTGTTAATTAATTATTAGATAAATATTTTTTTTAAATGTAAATTTCATTTTTTTAAATCAATAATATAATTTTAATATTAATATAATTTTTAAGTAGTTATTGTAATAAAATAGAAATTATAACTAAAAAAATAAAATCTAAATAATTATATCATTAATGTTTGAATAGTATAATATATATTTTTTATAAAAAATATATTGACATATTAATTAATTATTTAAAAAAATATATATTTACATTATTATCTTTTTTAATGTACCCGGTTGATCTTTTATTTTTAGTAGATGGATTACCAAAACAATTTAATGTAAATTGATTATTTTGTCTTGCTGATATTACTGATTTTTTATTATAATTATTTTTATATAACATAGTATGATCTACTTGAATTATATCCATATAACAATATATATCATTATTGTTGTTGGTCAATTTACTTAATTTATTACTATCTAGTTTATCTAGATTAATTTTAATAAAATAATCGGCACTATTATCTTGAATATGTCCAGGTATACCATAATGTTTAGTTACTATATAATTTGGACTGTTATGTATGGGATCCAAACTGGTTAAAAATACACCCGACTGTCCACTACTACTACTACTACTACTACTATTACTACTACTACTACTATTAATAACTGATTTTTTAATATATTTAGCATTCAATACCAAAACTGATGATTTTTTACTTAAATAATAATACAATACATTCGGATATTTTAAATCAAATAAATTACTCATTTTTGTGTGTATATCTAAAATAAAATAAATTATTAATTAAATCATTAATAAACTAAATAAAAGTAAAAAAATAAACTTTATTTCATATACTTACATGTTATTTAAAATTATTATTAGTTTAAATATAAGTTTACATATTATTTAAAAAAATATTGTATTGTTCTATTGTATTAAACAATTTTGTGTTAAATAGTGTACTGTATAATAAAATTATTATTAATAATTTTAAGTATTAAAAAATTAATTATTTATGATAATAATAAAAACACTTGAAATGAAATTAATTAGATTACAAGTAATAGTAATAATAAGTGTAATTATTAAACAATATTATGTATACTGTATTAAATAATTATTTTTAGTTTAAATAATTGATGATTTTATTTTAGGTATAAATAATTTTAGTTTGTTTTTTGATAGATTAATAGAAAAATTATAAAAATTATTATATTTTAAAATTATTTTCTTATATTTTTATAAATGATTTTATTGTTGTCAATATTTTGCATACTTATAAAAATTATGGTTAAAATTTAATTAAAACAATTTGATTAAAACAATTAAAAGGTTAAGTATTTTGTTTTGTTTGATTAAAGAAAATTAATTTAAAAGAAAATAGTTTATTATTATTTTGTTTAATTGATTATTATAAGTATTTAAGTTTAATATTACGTTTTATTAGATTATATCTAATAAATTAAATTTATAAACACTTTTTGAATTATTTAACATTTATTATTAAAAATAAATAACTGATATATTATTTTATTAGATAATATAGTAGTGTTTAATTAAAATTTCAATTTTCTAATATAAATAAATAATTGGTTTTAATTGTGAAATACTAATTTACTAAAAAATTGAGCCTATAAATAGTTGCTGATTAAATTCCTAAAGTTAAAGTTGTTAAGTTAGCATATATATAAAATTAAATGTCAAGGTTTTAAAATATATGAGTTTTATAAAACATATAAAACAAAAACAAACTATATATAGTGAAATATTAAATTTGGTAAACTTAATTTTTCTAACAAATTATGCAAATAATTTTAGTATTTATAAAATTGAAATTAATAAATTTTTAATTAATTAAGAATATTAAAAAAAAATTCATAATCTATATATATAACTATTTTATTTAAATTAATAATAATTAGAAATTGATTTAAATTATTTAGTAATATATATTGATATTATAAAAGTAAATAATTATTTTTAAAAAATAGAATATAATATTTATTATTTAAATTTATTAAATGTTAACAAAAATATTTACATTAAAGTTGTTATAAACTATTTTTTTATTGTTGACTTAAATTTATACAGTACTTATAATTATTAAAATTTAATTACATAATATTTTAAATTACACATAAAAACACTAAAATATACACAAAAAATATATAGATAGATAAATTATACATTATTTATAAAAAAAAACACAAATATTTTTTAACATTAAATTTTCTACATATCAGACATAATAATTTTTACAATTTTATTGATACAGATTATTTAATAATATATTTTAGTTTACTTAATTTAAAAAAAAAAATTAATTTCAATTAGTATTTATGTTTATCATATTTGAATCTAAAATTATTATTGGATCATCATAACAAAATAAATTTTCATTATTTTCAACAATTGACAATTTTTGTTTGTCTAAATTTTTAACCTGAATCCTAATAAAACAATCGGCACTATTATCTAGTATATGACCAGGTATACCTTGGTGCAATTTTATTATATCATTGGGGCTATAATCTTGAGGATCTAAATCGGTTAGATAGACACCTTGTTTATGGCCATTATATGATTTTGATTGTCTAATATAACCTGAATCGTTGATTAAGTTTGCCGATTGAATGCTTGAATAATAGTATAGTATATTAGGTATTTTATTTGCTATTAGTTTTGCTTGTAATCTATGGATGAAAAAAATAGTTAAAATTATATATATATATATGATTTTTTTAAAAAATATTTTATATTAAAATTTTTATTTACTCGTTTAGAAATCTTGAATTCAACGATACTGAAGGTACTGCCGATTGTGTCGATTGTGTCGATTGTGCCGATTGTGCCGATTGTGCCGATTGTGATGATTGGGCTAATTTAGTTGATTGGTCCGATTGTGCTGATATAAAGTACTGTAACAATTGAGCTAATTGATCTGATTGAACTAGTTGACTTGATTGACCTGATTGGCCAGATTGACCTGATTGACCTGATTGACCTGATTGACCTCCTTGGCCAGATTGACCAGGTAGAGATGATAGAGGTAATTGAGGTGATGCCATTGCAACAATATTACTTCTATAATTAAAATATAATTAACAATATAATTAACAATAATTAAAAAAAATATAAACAAAAATAATTGGGTTTTTTTTAAAAAAAACATTTACCTTGTACATTTAGGTTTATCCATGACATCACAACTATTAATAACCTCGATACTTGCTTTATAATAATAAATATCTGGACGATCGACAATCAATTTATTTTTATTTAATTTTCTATCATCTATTTGAATGCACCAATCGGCCAGATTTGAATTAGTTTTATGGGTACTATCGGTAACATAAAGTCTAGACAATATTTCGGCCCTATAGTAGTCAGTTGGCGACAATGTTGTCAACAATAGGCCGTTTCCGTTATTTTGTTTTTTTGAATTTTTGAATTTAATTTTCTTTTTCAATTTGATTTCCTGTGCCTCATCAGCATTGGTATAATAGTAATAGATTTTTGACTTATTTTCATGTTTATCATTTGTAATTGTTGTTTGGCTATTAATATATTCAAAAATTTTAATATGTTAAATTTGAGTAATATTATATGCTTTTAAGCAAGGTACTTTATATAACTTACCTAATATAGGTTAACTGTATACTAAGTTTCCTTGCTTACCGTAAAGTTAACTGTACAGGATATTACTCAAATTTAAACTTTTAATTAGGCATTATATGTATATATGTATACAGATAATGCTAATTAAAAAAGTTTAAATTTTAGTCATATCCTGTACAGTTAACTTTACGGTAAGCAAGGAAACTTAGTATACAGTTAACCTATATATATATGTATATAATTTAAATAATTAATTTTAAAAAATAGTAAAATTTAATTGAAATTACTTTAGTTGTTGTTGTTGTTGAGGTATAGTACTAATTGTTGAATCAAAATTTACCGTATAAAATGGTAATGCATTTATTGATTGATTTTTAAGTTTATTATTATTGATAACAGCCAATGAAACATAGGGTTGTCCACCAATAAATTGTATTGTCTCATTGGTACTATTGAAATTTATGGACATTGGTGAATTATTATTATTATTATTATTATTATTATGTTGATTTTGTTGACATTTAGGTTTATCCATAACATCTATTTGTGCAATACTAATGGCCGTATCGTAATAAAATAGATTATATTTACCTGGACGTATAAACATGTGCAACAAATTTCTATCTAGCTGATTTGTATTTACTATAACTAAATTATCTACACTATTTACTGGACAATTGCCATCAAATAGATCCTGTTTGATTTGATCACGATTGAATTGACCAGGGTCCATTGATGACAGTAGTATACCATTGGCTGCCTGTCCCGTTATACGACCCGGTAGTATTTTTTGGTTGTTTCTAATGGCCCGGGCATCCTCAGTGCAAACATAGTGATACAGTTTATCTTGAATAAACTTTTTTTTTAAAAAAATATTATTATTAACTTGTAATCAATTTATTTACTAATAAATTATTTATTAACTATTAAGTTATTTATTAACTAGTAAACTATTTAGTAACTATTAAGCTATTTATTAACTATTAAGCTATTTATTAAATATTAAGCTATTTATTAACTAATAAACTATTTATTAACTAGTAAGCTATTATTTATTAACTAGTAAGCTAATTATTAACTAGTAAGCAGTTTATTAACTAATAAACTATATATTAACTAATAAGCTATTTATTAATTAGTAAGCTATTATATATTAACTGATAAATTATTTATTAACTAGTAAAATATTTATTAATTAGTAAATTATTTATTAACTAGTAAGCTAATTATTAACTATTAAGCAATTTATTAACTAATAAACTATTATTTATTAACTTGTAAATAATTTTAATAAAAAAATTTTTACCATGTTAGTAGTTTGTTGAACATTAGTATAGGTAACTGTATAGGGTGGTTTAACATTTAGTTTTAAACATTGGGGTTTGTCGTGTATATCATTGGGCGATACACTAACAAAATCCATGTCATAAACATATATATCTTGTTTATCCCGAGTGTCTACCGCTTTAAGTTTGGTTTTGTCCAATTTATCCGTATAGATAAATACTACCCAATCGGCACAGTTAGCCCGTCTAGTGGATCCGTAATTGTTTTTGACTATTTCTGATCTAAAAAAACTAAAGGGGTCCATTGATGTCATGTAGACACCCGGTCCAAATGCACCGCTAGAACCCGACTTTTTGATTTGACCGGCCAGTCGTATACCTTGGGCACCGGCACTGGTAGTATAATGGTATAGTATGGGTGGAAATGATTTTGATAAACTCTAATAATAAAAATTAGTTTTTTTAAAAAAAATAAATACAGTATAAAATTATTGAATGAAGATTTAAAATGTTAGTAAGTTATATTTACCATTTTTAAAATTTTATATTTAGATTTTAGTTTTTATTTTAGTTTTTAAATATATATTATACTTATTCATGTTTTTTTGTTAAGTCTGTTAATTTTTTTTACTAATTTTAACTAATAGTTATAAACTATAAATAAATTTAATATCTAATTATTATTAAGTCAATTAAAAAAAATGTACTTGTTGAAATTTATATAACAGATAATTAAAAATGTTATCATTTATTCTAATATTGCAAAATTTAATTATTTAATTGACATTTTAATTTAATAGACACTTAATTTAATAAATACTTAATTTCATTAATTTATTAAACACTTTATTTATTAATCTAATTTATTATTAATGTATAAAATTAATATTATATTAAAGTGTTTTGTTTTTTTTAAACTTAGTAATCAATAATTAGATAAATAATTAATTAAGTTTTCATTTTAATTAAGTGTTAAATCATTATACATTATATAAATATTATTTTAGTTTAAAATTTTTAATAATCAAAAATACTTTAGTTAAGTTGCAAAGTCTATTTTTTGTTGTTATATCCATGATAATACAGTATATAACTGTTGTAGGGTACATTATTTATTAATGTTAAATAAGCATTATAATTTCAATTCTACATATACTAAATACTAATCGTATAAATATAGTTAAATAGTATTTTATTAAAACTATAATAATAATTTTTACTTTAGATAGAAGTTATTTATTTTAAATAAGTTTGTTATTTTTATTTCAAGTTTAATTACTTTAAATTAATTAATTACTAAAAATTAATTGATAATTATTTTTATTATAATTATAGACAAACATATCATTATAGTTATGCATAAATACCAATACCACCCACACCAACAACACCAACAACAAATACCACATATACTGTATCATTACACGACAACCCATGGTGCTCAGGGTATTCGAAAGGCCGGTTATATACTACCTGGCCGTAAGTCAAAAGGCATTTATCTGAGTACAATGGATCCGACACAATATTTTCGCCGTGAAATTGTCGATAGTATATATGGACGGCATAACAGTAAAGGACGTCACGATAACTGTGCCGACAATTGTGTAATGGTTTATGGTAGATCATTGGACATGAGCCGGCTAAAATTGGTCAACCCCAATAATAATCTATATTGTTATATAGGCGCCATCAATGTATCAATGGTAGATGTTTTTGATAAACCACGTTGTATTAGGGCTGTCCATAATAATAATAATAATTATAATTATAATACCCAAACACAACATGATTATCATTTAGCTAGAAATACTTCATCATTATCATCATCATCACCATCACCTCCACCACCATACCATCAACTAAATCCCTATACAGGCAATGGACAACCAGTTAGTCAACAACATAATGGTTGGCCACCAGTGTCACAAATATACCCTGAGCTAGCATTTAATCAGTTAACAAATAGTAATCAAGTAGATAATAGTTTGATAAATACTAAAACAGTAGTACCAGAATCTACTGCTAGCATAGAGGACAGTCAGAAAATGGTCAATCAGTCAACTGTTGGAACTGTTGGCTTATCTGGTCAAACTGTTCAACAACAACAACAACAACAACATTATATTGGTATTGATAATCGTCAACAACAACAACGTCAGTATAGTGTTAGCAAAATTGATAATCGACTAATTTAACTTAAATTGTCCTTGTTGAATTTTTTAAAACTATTATTAAATAATTTTTTTTCTAAATATTTAATACAATATAAAGATGTTATTAAATATGATATTATTTTTTAATAAAAAATTATAATATTTATATGTAATAAAAATATTTATTTTTTTTAAATATATAAATTAAATATTCAAACAAAATAATTTTTATTAAAATAAAAACAAAATAAATTTTGATATTTAAGTTAAAATATTAAATATAATATTATATATTAATAAAAAGTTTTGGATTAATTTAGTTAATCTTTATTGTTATATAATATTTAAAAAATTTGTTATATATATAAATATAGGATAAATAAGTATTTATAATATAAAATATTTTAACAAATATTGATTTCATTTTGATTAAAAAAATAAGTAGTTTAGTTTAATATTACCTTTAATTAGATAATAATTATTTAATTAAAAGTAAAGTTCATTTTCATAGTATTTAACTTTAATATTTCTATTAAATAATGTATTTTTAATTTATTTCACATAATCTACAAATATGACATTTTAAAATTAATAATATTTCAAGTTTTTTAATATAATTAAATCTTAATTTAAGTGTTTTTTATGATTAAACATTTTAAATTATAAAAACAAATTAAGTTTACTGTTTATATTTTTTTTATAAAATTATATATTCTATAAATTAAAAACAATTAAATAAAAATGATTTGAACTATATAGATAATTTTGAAAAATATAACCTTTTAATCTATAAGTTAAATTACTGTATATTAAATATATCTTTTTAAATTAATAAAAAAATATATTTTATTATTAGATTATGTGAAATATATAAATAATTATAAACAGTTCATAAAAATAGTTTATTTTGATTAACAAATTTTTTAAACATTCTATTAGACATAAAATAATAATAAAGTAAATAATTAAATTTAAAAATTAAATAATAATACAAATTTTTAATAATACATTAAAATGAAATAATTAACTAATTATTATTTTTTTTTGAAAAATATATTTAATTTCTAGATATTTAAAATATATGCTTAATAATTTTAATACTATTTTTAATATAGTACTTGAAAAATATCATAATATAAAATAAATTTTATCTAAATTTTATATTAGTACATGTATAGTACATGTTTTAAATCAATGAAATGAAAATTTTTATATGTATTATGAAATATATAGGATTATTTTTATAATGCCAAAATACTGTATATAAATCAATTTTAGTTAAATTATTAGTTTTTTTTAAAAAAAAATTATATATTTGACCTTGTCACTTTTTTAGATTCAACAGTTTGGTATTGTTGACTAGGTTGATTTTGTACAAACTTTGATGATTGGGCACCTGTAGTTTGTTGTTGTTGTTGTTGTTGACCAATTTTATTAGCAGCAGTTTGATATTGTGGACTTGGTTGATTTTGTTTATAACCTATAGTTTGATGGCCAGTAGTATTATTATTACCCGTTTCCTGTTTTGATGATGGCTGATGAGTATTACCAGTTACCAGACCATTGTCATCAAACGGCTGGATGGTTGGCTTACTGGTAACGGTGCCATACAATTCAGTTGAATAATGTTGATTAGCTATCGGCTTATCCATTGGTGAAACTATATGAGGACCAGCACAAGTAGTTTCCGGTATTGGTTGACTAGTTGGCAGTTTTTGATTGACTGGTAATGGTTGGACAATTGGAATACCTGTGCCCGTATAGAGTGGCATTGACGGTGGCAGCTCATACATTGATTGAACCGGTGACGGCATACCAGTAGTAGGTTGCTGTCCATTACTATAAATAAATCCAGGGTTGTTGTTGGTGTTGTTATCGGCCTGGTATGGTGGCGGCGGTGACGAGTATCTACTGTACTGATAAGCTTCAAATGATAGACCTGGTGGTAGTGGTGGTGCTGACGGTATAGCATAACTGTTTGTATTATAGATATATGATTGTGGAGGAGGAGGAGGAGGAGGAAGAGGATATTCCTGAACAGTTGGACTGAATGTGTTATAATACTGTGGAGAAGCATAGGTACCCGCCATTTGAGGCAATGGTGCCGATACAGGCCATTGTTGTGGTGGGACACCACCAGCGCCAGTATGATTGCCTGGTCCACCACCAGCTCTCACGCATCGGGGCTTATCGATAACGTTTTGGGCGGACACCACTTTGATTGTACCCGTATATACATAGAGATCCTGTTTGACTGGCCTGAGTCGGCTGGGATCCAATTGATTAGTATAGACAACCACACACTCGTCGGCCGCATTTCCGCGACCCGAGCTCTGGCCGCCGCCGTAAATGTTGTCCACAATTTCGCTACGAAAGTATAGGTTCGGATCCATTGCACTCAGTTGGACACCTTTGTCACAATTTTCGGCAATTTGTTTGACCGGTTTGATAGTTAACGATCGGCGTATACTATGGGCACCTTGCGTTGTTGTATAATGGTAGAGTATTGGCGGCAATAATTGTTGGCCAGGTAGTTGTTGTTGATGATGATGATGATGATTAAGATACTGGTGCTGCATATTGGGCACAGTTATCTATTATAGATAATAATGTATAACATTATATATATATTTATAAATTAATTCATATATCTTATTGTATAACAATAAGTAAAATAAAATAATAACTTTTTGTTAAACTTACCATATTTATATTTATATATACTGTATATATTTTTAAATAAGTACAATAAATAGTTTTTAAAAATATTTTAATCTTAAAATAATTAATTAATAATCTGTTTTTATTATTTATATAATCTAATAATATATTAAATTAATATAATTATAATAATTTTATCTGATAATATAAAATGTAGAAATTCAATTGTACTTAATTACTAACATATTATTAGTAATGAAATAATAATAATAAAAATTATATTATAATATTATGCTAGTTACGATTAGATTAGTTTAATTACTATCAAAAAAACAAATTTTAATTAAAATTATATATTTTTTAATTTCCAATATTTTACTTCAGAATATTTTATAATTCTTAATAATAAATTGTAAATTAAAACAATTATTTAATAATAATGATCTTTGTTTATTAAAAAAATATAAAGTATTTAGTATTAGTCTTATTAAAATAAAATTTATAATTATATTATTAATAATTAATAATCATATAATTAAAACACTTAATATATTATAATAGTTTTTTAATAATAAACAAAACACTTTAACTTTTAAATAATCACACACTTAAATATATTTTTTTATTAAAAAAAATAGTTAATGAAAATTTATCATCGTTAGTATAGATAAAAAAAATTTATTTAAACTTTCACATATACCATGGGCAATTTTATCATATGGTTGTAATATAGTTGCTACTAATTATGGTAATTATATACTACTATCCACTTATTGTATTGATTGGTCTGATTGTTGTCGAGTATTGTTTATTATTGAAACATTATTTATATGTCTGTTATTCAAAAAAAAACAAAAAAGATTCACATAAATAAACATTTATTAATTATATAACATTAGAAAGAGAGAGAGAGAGAGAGAGAGAGAGAGAGAGAGAGAGAGAGAGAAGATTCATTGTAAAGGTTTTTAGTACTAAATATTATAATTAAAAACTTTTACAATGAATCTCTCTCTCTCTCTCTCTCTCTCTCTCTCTCTCTCTCTCTCTCTCTCTCTAATGTAAATGAAAAAAAACAAAAATTAACAATTTTTATAATAAAAATAAATAAATATTTTTTTAACGCTTACTTTATACATTTGGGCTTAACTCGGACATCCCAATAATCAACCTGGATACTTGCTTTGTAAACATATAGACCTGATCCGGCTGAAATCAATTTATCTGGTTTAGTAATTTTCCGTCCGACCACCTGAACCAACCAATCGGCCAGATTTGAATAACTGGCCGATTGACTATCTGAGCCGTAAAGTCTAAATAATATTTCCGATCGGGAATATTCTTGTGGCGACATTGTTGTCAACAATAGTCCATTTGAATTATTATTATTTGTATTATTATTTTTAGTAACTTTTTTCAGATATTTTATTTTATTTTTAGATCTAATTTCATGAGCATCATCTGAATTGGTATAATAATAATAAATTTTTGTATTATTTTCTTGATGTTTGTTGTCACTGTTTGTTTGGCTATATATATATTTTTTTGAAATAAATTAAATTAATAAGTTTTTACACTCATTACATAAATTTTTTGATATACTGTAATTTAAATGCAAGTTTTTTTGTTGCTTATTTTGTGGTCAAAACTTTTTTTTTATATATATCCACAAATTTATCAACAAATTTACCGCTAGTTTTACGGTTACACAAGTTATGACCACAAACTAAGCAACAACAAAAAACTTATATTTAAATTAAATATTTAAAAATTATAACAAAAATTTATGTAATATATATATAAATCTAGTAAAATAAAAGTTAAGTTTATTATATAATTACATATTTTGTTGATATAAACTACTAGTTGTTGTATCAGACGATTGACTATGAATTGGCATTGAATTTCTTAATTGATTTCTAACTGTACTGTCAATGGTTTCCATTAGGACATAGGGTTGTCCATCAAAATATTTTATCACTTGTCTGGTATTATTAAAATATTGGTTCATCGATGACAATGAAACCATACCATCATTATTATTATTATCACTATTATAATGGGATGATAATTGAGGATTCAATAGACGACGACTATGTGGTTTATTTATGACATCCTTGATGTCATCAATTGTTATGGCCGTATCGTAATAGTATAGATAATATTTATTTGGACGATTAAACCAATGTAATAGATTTTTATCTAGCTGATTTGTCCGAACTATAACTAGATTATCAACACAATTTATTGGGCAATTATTATCGTAGATATCTTGTTTTAATTGATCACGTTTAAATTGACCAGGGTCCATGGATGATAGTAGTATACCATTAGCTGCCTGTCCCGATATACGACCTGGTAGTATTTGTTTGTTATTACGTATTGATAAAGCATCGGCAGTACAAACATAGTGATACAAAATATCTGGTATAATCTGTTTTTGTTTAAAATATAAAATTAATTACTTTTAAATTATATATTTTTAAAATTATATAACTTTTAATTATATAACTTTTTAAATTATATAACTTTTTAAATTATATATTTTTAAAATTATATAACTTTTAATTATATAACTTTTTATATTATATAACTTTTTAAATTATATAACTAACTTAAATTATATAACTTTTAAATTATATAACTAACTTAAATTATATAACTTTTTTACATTATATAACTTTTTAAATTATATAAATTTTTTAAATTATATAACTTTTATTGCTATATAACAACTAAATAACTTGAAGTTATACCATATTAGCCACTGGTTGTACATCAATATAGTTGATATTATAAGCAAGCTGTAAATTATCTTGATCATTAATTGCTTTTATACAATAGGGTTTATCATGTATATCAATGGGCGATACACTAACAAAATCACTGTCATATCTATAGATATCTTGTTTATCCCGAGTGTCTACACGATATAGTTTAGTTTTTTTCAATTTACTCGTATAGATAAACACTACCCAATCGGCACAGTTAGTACGGCTACCGGAGCCGTAATTGTTTTGGACAATCTCTGTACGATAGTAGCTATACGGGTCCATTGATGTCATATAGACACCCGGTCCAAATGCACCACTTTTACCTGACTTTTTGATATAACCCGACTCACGTATACCTTGGGCACCGGCACTGGTAGTGTAGTGGTATAGTATTAATGGCACAGTTGTTGCTGATGATGATGATAATGATGTCTACAATATGAATAAATGTTGATTTAGATTAGACGTTAATATATTTAATAAATATTATATATATATTTTTTAAAAATGTTATTTTTTATTTACCATTTTAATTGATTAATTAATTGCTACTGTTGTAATAATTTTACAAATAATAATATATTGTTAAATATTTTTAAAAAATACTGTATATTTTATTATTATATATGTTTTATTGCTATTATATTTTAATTTTTGAACTAAATATTAATATAAAAACTTTTAATATTAATTAAACATATAATTACATGAAATCTATTTAAACAGATACTTAAACAGTTAAATCTTAAGTTTATTTTTAATAATTTATTTTTATTTTTTAATGATTACAATTTCAAGTATTATAAGTTTATTATTATTTCAATATCTACTCTAAATATAATTTAATTGAAATAGGTTTTTTTGAAACAAAAAAAATTATTTAGCTATAATTTACTTTTAACATAACAAAACTAAAAAATATATATATTTATATTTAATTGATTAAATTTGATAATTATATTATTAGATTATAAACATTTAAAGTTCAATTATAATTTAATATTTACTAATTTAAAAAATAATAATAAATAAGTTATTATAAAAATTATCATTATTTTGTAAAGTGATTTGTTAGATAAATTGAAATATTTTTTTTTTACTTTTGATTTAATTAAATATCAATAAAATTTAAGTAAATTAGTTTCATAAATATTATTACACAGATAACTAATTACTATTGTAGACTAAATTAATATTTTTTTATAAATATTAAAATTACAATTTTTAGTACATATACTAAAACTTAAAAATAATTACAGTATTTATAGTTAAGTTTTTTTTAAATTAACGTTTTCTATAATATTAAACAAATTTAATAGAAGATTTTATTTTTGCTTTTAAATACATGAAGTTATTTACTTAACAAAAAAATTGACAATTTTAAAAAAATAATAATTTATTTAATTGTCAAATAATAATTGTGCTCGTGGTAAAAGTTGCAATTTAAATAACTTAATTTAAAAATTATACTAGTTAAATATTTTTAGTTATCTATCTAATTTATTTTTTTTAAAAAAATAGTTATTTAAGATTCATATACAGTATATATATAGTATTTATATTACTTTCACCACATCAACTAAACATCACTACAAACTAGCCCTGGGTTGGACCGGACCATTGGGCACCTGTATATATCGTTCAGTCATCCGTTCATTAAGCACCGGTGAAAATTTATTAGCCCTGTCCAACAGGTTCTCAGCTATAGCACTGTCAACACTGTTAAAGCCCATCTCATTGCCGGTAATACAGTGTCCATCGGCACAGTTAGTTGTGGCCGTCAAATAACCGTTTGTCTGCTTCAATGCATCCTGTTGTCCAAATACAGGTGCCGGCCTATTATGACTGACCAGTGAATCAATGATATCTTGGGTTGGATCAAAAAATGGTAACTCTATTGATGCTATTTTCTGTACGGCACTGTTATCTAACAGTTTGTTGAAACCGGAGCTGACACCGGCATTGATATACCGGTTGACAATCGCTTTGTACGGTTGCGGTGCATAAAAACCGGTACCGTATTTGACAAATTTAAAATTGACCGGTTCGTGGGCACATGCATCCACGGCCATACCACACAAATAGACATCATTGGCCACAAAATTAATATAGGCTAGTATATCAAAATATGAACCGTTAACCGATACAAATCTACCCGACCTATCACCGTGTATATCGTTTATGGAAGGTCTAGGTTGTCCCATAATTTGTTCATAAATAAAATCATCCAGTACACCCCGTTCCCTGTAGCCATGTGTAACCAAACGGCCACTATTGTACGGTTGTTGAAACTGTAGACCAACCAGATCTATCAGATAGACTTTGGCTGTTTGCGGAACCCTGGGTGCACCGCGTGGATAACCCCCATAGTGTGTGGTACTATCGGGACCAACAATAATGCATTGACGGGCCAGATCTTTGATACTCAATATGACTTCACGGGGCAAATGGGAACCGTATTGTTGAAAGTTTATACGTCCACTGGTATTACCCGATTCATTGCGGGCCAACATTACCAACTGTTTTAGTGTTAACTGGTGTCCGATGGGTACGGAAAAATCATGTTGATCATTTCGTGAGTCAATTAGTTTGCACGATAACGTTGTTGACGTGATTAATTGGGATAAATGTTGTAACCCTTGTTCAACCCATTTGGGTGCAACAATGACAACCTGGTCATCCTGATAGGTCCATTTGTAGGTATCGTTAAACAATTGATCACGTCTAGTATATATATGTACTGGATCATTTTGCATGGGTCTAATAGCAACAACAACAACAACAACAAAAAAACATATAATAGTAATTAAATTATTAAATTATTTTGTTAAATATTTTTGTTAAGTAAAATATATACAGTTTACTATAAATTACCCAGCTAATTGTATATTAGGATTCAATAGTAATCCTGGATTAATACCAATGGGTGCTAAACCATAGCTACCGTTTTGTTGGTGGTGTTGTTGTTGTTGGTGTTGTTGTTGGTGTGTTTGCTGTGCTCTTCAAAAAAATAAAAATAAATAATAATAATTAGATAAAATTAAAATTACGATTTAAATAATAATTTTTTTAAAATATATAAACTAGTATATTAATTGTACTGTATATTGTAAATACTAATTAATAATCAATAATTAGATACATTGTACTGTATGCATGACTTACTTATTACACTTGGGCTTATCCATGACATCCTTTGGGCAAACATGAATATCTCCTGAATAGACATAGATCCCGGAGCTCAAACCTACCAATTTTTGTGGCTTTAATTTGCTGCCAATAACTCGGACACACCAATCGGCCCGATTGGCGCAATGAGGATCTGGTTGACCACCACCACCACTACCGCCACCATTGACTGCAGTGTACAGTCGGGTCAGTATTTCCGATCTATAATAATCGTTTGGTGCCATTGTTGTCAATAGTATACCTTTACCACCATTTGTAAAAATATTTGAGATTTTTTTCATATAACTTAAACTGATTTCGCCCTTTGACCTGATATCCTGTGCATCCCTGCTAGTAGTGTAATGATATAATATTGATGGTATCTATTATTATTTTTTTTAAATAAAAAATTAATAAATAAATTAAATTATGTTTAATTTAATTGTTTTACTGTTTAGTTTAGTTTTTAAAATATTTAACTCAACAAATTATAAAATTAAAATATATATATAAAGATATTAAGATTAGATTAATAATAATACTAATTAATAAAGATTTTTAAAAAAAATCAAATAATAATAATAGTAAAATCAGTTTGTTTAAAGTAATTATTATAATAAATCCAATTATTATTGTATTCAAAAAAAATAATAATAATAGTCTATTTAATAATATTATAAAAATATTATATCATATAATATGTTAAATTAAATTAATTAAATCATAATTACTGTCTGAGTGTTTGATCTACAATAAGGTGTCTGATTGTGTGTCCTATTAGATGGTCGACAACCGCCGCCACCACCACCACCACCACCAGCAGCACCGGTAGCAATGTTTGTACAACTTTTACCATAATTTTTAACACCATTAGCTACTGTCGGTGCTTGCATTGTCCACCCATTAACATGTACCATACCGGGAACAATGCTAATCTGGTCGGTATAGCAATAGATTTTATCATTATTATCCAGTGAACGTAATTTCCGATAATCCAATCGTTGGCAATCAATTTCCACATAATAATCGGCACTATTATCCCGGATATGACCGGGTATACCAGTGTGTGCTGCTATGATATCCCCGGGACTGTTAGTTACGGGATTCATACGCGACAGATAGACACCATAATCGTAACCATTTATACCACCAATTGATGGTCTAATATATCGACTATTGGCTATCTGTCGAGCCGATTGTTGGCCAGTATAGTAGTATAATGTTGTCGGTGTAGTTGTTGTCATTGTTATTGTTTTAAGCTAACAGTCCTTTAAAAAATTAATATAAAAAAATTTTTAATAAAAAATTAACTATCTTAGTAATTATTTTAGTTAATTAAATAAATATAATCTATAAATAGACTTTGTAGTTGTTTTTTTTTAAATTTTTTACTATATTATATACAGTATATGATTAAATTATTTTTAAATTATATTTATCATAAATAATTTATTTATATTATGTTAATTTATGATATATTTATTAACTAAAACAATTAATTTAAAATGAAAAAATTATTTTACCTTTTTAAATCAGTTGAATGTTTGTTTTCTAATATTAATTTATTTTTTTTACAAAAAAAATATTTATAATATTTTAATATTTAGTAGACACATAATTAATTTAGTAAATACAAAATAATTTTATTGTAACTGATATATTAAAAATCATTTTCACATTGAATAGAAAAACATATTACTAATAGTTATCTGTATAAAAAATATAACTTTTTTTTATTATCAATGTTTTTTTGATTAAATGTTAGTTTTATATTTTATAACTAAATAAAACAAATTTATTAGTAATAATAATATTTATTACGTCAATACAAAAAACATACATAAGTAAGTGTTATCATATTATGTAATATTATCTTATATTTATACTGTATTAATACTGTATATAAAAAATAGTGTAATATTTTTATAATAGTGTAATGTCTATGACTATGACTGTCTATGTTTGCTATTCAATAGATAAGTAATTATCAGTTTTTTTTATAATATACTGTAGAGGTAGGCATAAGAGGCAAGTTATGGATATAATTACTTACATTATATGTACAGTATAAGTAAATTTTATGAATACAAAATTTGAATTTTAAAAGACAATACAAATTATAACTATTACTATTACTATTACTATTACTATTACTATTACTATTACTATTACTATTACTATTACTATTACTATTACTATTACTATTACTATTACTATTACTATTACTATTACTATTACTATTACTATTACTATTACTATTACTATTACTATTACTATTACTATTACTATTACTATTACTATTACTATTACTATTACTATTACTATTACTATTACTATTACTATTACTATTACTATTACTATTACTATTACTATTACTATTACTATTACTATTACTATTACTATTACTATTACTATTACTATTACTATTACTATTACTATTACTATTACTATTACTATTACTATTACTATTACTATTACTATTACTATTACTATTACTATTACTATTACTATTACTATTACTATTACTATTACTATTACTATTACTATTACTATTACTATTACTATTACTATTACTATTACTATTACTATTACTATTACTATTACTATTACTATTACTATTACTATTACTATTACTATTACTATTACTATTACTATTACTATTACTATTACTATTACTATTACTATTACTATTACTATTACTATTACTATTACTATTACTATTACTATTACTATTACTATTACTATTACTATTACTATTACTATTACTATTACTATTACTATTACTATTACTATTACTATTACTATTACTATTACTATTACTATTACTATTACTATTACTATTACTATTACTATTACTATTACTATTACTATTACTATTACTATTTATTATAAGTTCAAACATCATATGATATTAATTTAAGATTTATTTTGTATGTGTTATTTTATATAAAATATTTGTAGATATATTAATCCATTTATCTGTATTTATTTAATTAAGTATTTATATGTTTATCGCCTCCAAACGCCTAGCTCTAATATACTGTATTATAAATTGAATTATTTATATAATACAATAATTACAGTATAATATAATGTTAATAAAAAATAACGCAATTAATAAATTAATTTAGTAATATTTTTTTTTAACTTTTAATGTATAATTTAGTGACATCTAGCTTATTGCAAACAAACATAAATTTAAACAAATAAAACAACAAAATAATATTAGCATAATTTATTAATAAATTTAATTAAAACTTTAATTTAATTAATTTAAACTGTAAAATCTCTAAATAATGTAAAATATAATGTAAAAAATAATTTAACAAATTTTTCTTATTTCAATAAAAAATAGTATATAATTGTAAAGATATATATTATTAATAAATAATTTTTTTTATATCGAATTCTATTCTAATATATAATATCTATTGACATAAAATAATTAGTTTTTTAGAAATTTAAATTTTGATACTAAGATAACATAATTTTTTAAAAATTTAGTCTACAATTTGTATTTGTGTAAAAATTTTAAAAAATAACACAATTAACAATATTGTTAAAAAAAATTTTGCTTGAAAAAACAAACAATTATATTATAATAAATAAATAATTAATTATCTTTTTATTATAATATATTTAAAAAAATAACTATAAATATCTAAATAAAGTAATAAATAATTTTTGATTAATTTTTGATTAATATATTCATAGTTAAGTTATTAAAGTTAATATATTAAATAATAATGCTCAATTTATTTATTTTAAATTAAAATCAATTATCATAAATAATGCATATAATTAGTTTTAAAAAAAATAAATATTACTAAAACTTGTAGACCTAAATAAATAATATAAATATATTGAAATAACTTTTTTTTATATATATAAACAGTTTATTGATATCTGGAAAATATATAATAATATTTATAGACATTGTTGTCTATATAATGTATAGTTTATCACAGCATTAATAATCACTACTAAAACATAAGTTTAACATTTGACATTATTTAAAAAAAAAATATATTTAATTAGTATTTAGAAATTTTAATTAATGTTTACAATCAAAAAATTATTAGATTATAATTATTTATTTTATATTAATAAATAGATAATAATAAAATTATTTATTTTGAAAAAATCAAATTACGTATATCTCTATCATAATATATTAATTTTAAAAAAACAATTAAAATATATTTTATTGGAAAATATTACAGTTTATTTTTTTCACGAATTCCTAAAAGGAATACGTATATGCATTCTATTATAGTTTCTAATTTCTATAAGTCTGTCGGTCTGTCTGTCTGTCTGTCCCACGAGGACATAGGTTCGAATCCACATTCAGCTACACTTTTTTTGTGATTTTTTTTTTTGATTTTTTAAGTTTATTTTTCAGGAAAATGGTATACAATAATTAATTTAAAAAAATTTTGAATTTTTTTTTTTGAATTTTTTTTAACTTTATTTTATTAGGAACATAGAGAAAATAGTGTCAAAAATTCTTTTTCTTTTTTAAGTTAAGGAATTCGTATGGAAATGCTTTTGAAGCATTCTCTACTGGTTTTTTTTAAATTTACTGTTATTATTATTATTTTGCATTTTAACATATATTAAACTGTATATTTATTTTTAAAAACAATTTTCAACATATACTAATACCATCTAGCTAATTTTTAATGCAAACTTTTTTTTTAATATTTCAAACATAAACAAACTTTATTATATTATATACTGTATATCATGTGATATTTAAATCAAAACATAAATTTTTAACTGTATTTTTTATTTATTTAATTATTATTATTATTATTATTATTACAGTATTATATTAGCTTAGATTTCTAGTGTAAACATAATAAACATTTAATATTTTATAGTACTGTATATATATATACAATATATATAATTTATATGACAACTATCTACTGTAATAAATACATATAATACTTATCAATATTACATTATTATTATTATTATTTCATTTAATTTGTTTTTATTAATATTAACACAACAACTACTACTACTACTACTATAAACTGTAAATACTATTGTTTTTTGCATAAAAATCACTATTAAAAAAATATTATATATATTATCTATTATAATAGATTTATATTATCAAAAAAATAAATAACATTACAAATAATATATAATATATATTATATATTAGATATGCTAATAAAAATTATTTAACAATATATATAATATTTTATATACATTATATTCAATGTAATGCTAAAAATAATGTTTTTTTGTTTGTTTAATATTATTAGTTATTATTAATTATAATTATTAATTATTTTTTTTCAATTCAATGTTCATATGTGTGTGAATATCATCATTGATTAATTGACTGTCAATAGCATGCAATCAATACAAACAATAGTATTAATTAATTATAATTAATACATAACTGACTGTAAATGTTATCATAAAATAAAACAAAAAAAGTTTTCAATTATTATTCAAAAAACAAAATCAAAAAATTATTGAATAGTTTTTATGATAAAACAAAACGAAACAAAAAAAACAAAATGTTTTTCAACAGAAAAAATAATAATAAAAAGTCTAATAATAGTAATAAAGCCAAAGCTATGTCACTGACCACTCCCGCCGACACCGACGGCGATGACGATGATGACCACCAATACAGCCGTATGTCTGTTATAAAAGGTATGAAAACTGGCAAACGAACCGATGTAATGAAAGTGGTCCGAAAGTTGGTCGACGGTTGGCGTGACCCGCTATGTATGGCCAATCAGATTGAAGCGGTCGAACGAAATACCCGACACGCGGCTACCAATGCCAAAGCCAATCTGTTTGTTACGGCCACGAGTGCCGAAGCCAGCCGTACGTTGTTGGCCGGCGCCCGACTGTATCTCCAGGACATGGACGGTATCAATTGGGAGCCATACTTGAGTCGACAGCAACAGCAGCAGCCACTGGCAGCTGCCGAGGACTGGTATTTTGAGGACGAGGTTGCGATGGCAGCGGCGGCGCCGACGGCAGAGGACTACTGGCCTGAAATACCGGCCGACGACTGTGTGTCGGTTATCAGCGAATTGGACGTATCCGCTGTACGCAAGCCTATCGATTATATACGGAAATTGGTCGACGATTGGCGCGATCGGTCAGTTAATGGCCGACTGATAGCAGCGGTAGATAAAGATAGTAGCGGTCAGCGACTATTTGTGACGGCCAGAGATGCCAATGCTACCCGTGCACTGGTCAGGGTTGGCCAACGTAACGGTTTTCAATGGTCGGTATACGAGCCTAGTGTTCATAATAGGGGTAATTGTTTTGTAATTGTTTTCTTATAATTAGTATTAAGATTAATATATTGTATATTATTATTATTATTAAATTTAAACTTAGCTACCGGTGCTATTGGCGGACAATTTAATTACAATACAGTTAGTCATGGAGTGGACAACTGGTCAAAAGGTTAGAATTTTTTTATTACAATATATGATTCTAACTATTCATTCATTAAACGCCAGGCGCTTTACCGAAATACCCGAACTGGTCAGCAGCGGTAGTAGAGGCCACCAATAACCGTAAAGGCAATCATCATCAGCATGAAAATAGAGGACATACGGGTGCAAGTGGTAGTGGTGGTGGTGGTGTTGGTAGTAGTGGTGACTATGACAGAGATATGGTGCGGGCACTGAGGTTAAGCAAGTTTGACGATAAGGAACGCCTAAAAAGTAATAAATCTTTGATGAAATTAGACATTAATAATAATAATGATGTAATATATTTATAGAGTTAAAAGAGGAACAGGAGCTTCGGGAGCTACAGGAGCGTCAAAAACAGGAACTGCGAGACAAAATAGCCGCCATAGTTATCGACACCGATAGGTCTACCGAAAAAATCGCTGAACTAATTGAACTGATGAAACAATACGAACGGGACAGTGGACAGCCGATCTACGCGGACTATCAGCCGATTGACCAGTTAATGATAGACACTGTCTTAAATGATCGGTCAAAATTGATTCTCTGTGTAATACTAGCACTGGGAGGTCAGGTATCGCTGGACACTGTTTTCGCCTATTTTGCCGTTCATATGGAGAAAATTCATGTGGAATTTGAAGATAATATGCGCAAACAGTTACCACTGTTTGATCCCTGTGTCCATCGGTTGGACACTGAAGTCTATTTGAATCACGAAGCACTAGACGATCAACTGGTATGCGTACACATCAAAGGTGACGGCAATTGTTTGTGGTCGGCCGTCAGTACCGCTGTCTACGGTTCCGATGAATACATGGAATCGCTGCGACTGTTGACCGCAGCCACACTGTTGGACTATAGCTCGGAGTTTATCGGCGCCTATAACAGCGATATGGACGTACCGTTTGACGAATTGGTTAGCAAAGCGGTAACACTGCAGGAATGGGGTTACGAATGGCATATACAGGCCCTGTCAATGGCATTGCATCGGCCTATCTATATCTACAGTTCGTTTATATCGATGGTCAACAAACGGAGGCAATCGTACGACGAGCTGCGGGAGGTTTACGAACGAACATATGTACCAAATCATATGCGTTTTTTGGCTGACGGTAATCGCGAGGACGAGATACCGGTGCTGTTGTACTATAACGGTATGGATCACTACAGTCTAGTGTTGCCTAAACGCGAAGGTGTTCGGCCATTGAGGCCGTACACCGAAATGATGGAACCTATGGTTAACAAAAAAGGTATGGGTGTTTTTTTGTTGAATAAATTAAATTAATAAATAGTTAAATTAATTTTGTTTTTTTTAGATAACATACCGGTGCCCGAACCGCCGACAACAAATAGACAACACATTGAGAAAAGCACTAATAATAATAATAATACCGGTGCTAATAAAAAGTGTCATGGTAATTTTATTATCATATTATACTAGTATATCAATTAGATTTATATATATAAAATAATAATAATAATTTTTTTAGTAAACATACCACCAGTGCCTACTAAAACCAATAAGCAAAACATTAGTAAAAATACTAACAAAAGTAATAAAAATTTGAATTTATTATAATTATTAAAAAATTACAATTACTGTATAATATTTTGTTTAATTTTTTATTATTATTTAATTGTTAGAATGGACTGAGAGGATGGAACCCATGGTTAATAAGAAAGGTATGGTTTTTTAAAAAATAATTTTAATTACTAAATATTTAAATTAATTTTATTTATTTTTTTAGATAACATACCGGTGCCCGAACAGCCGACAACAAGCAGACAACACATTGATAAAAGTGCTAATAATAATAATAATACCGGTGCTAATAAAAAACGTCATGGTACTTTTATTTTATATTATACTATAGTATATCAATTAGATTTATATAAATAAAATAATAATAATATTTTTTTTAGTAAACATACCACCAGTGCCTACTAAAATCAATAAGCAAAACATTAGTAAAAATACTAACAAAAGTAATAAAAATTTGGGCAGGACTTTACTATATGGCCCGCGCCGGAGGCGCGGGTGGGGGATATATTTACGTTGGGGGTGATGTATAGTATATGGATATAAAATTTTATTAGACTGAGTGAAGCCGTTCATATAGTATATTGTATAGCATTATTATACATTTATTATACATAAATGTATATATATATTAAATATTTAAATTTTGACTTCAGATTTGGATTAAGCATAAAAAATAAGGTATAGGGGATCTGCATTAAAATTTTGATATCTCTTCGGGAGCATAGAAAAAATGGCGGCCAAAATAAAAAAAAATTTAAGTAAAAAATTTTTAAGTGTAGATTTAAATAAATCATCACAAAAGGAATAAGGAATCAGCATTAAAATGTAAATGTAATATGAAATGCTAAAGTAATTTGAAAAATAAAATATTTTTTATTATGATTACTTTATGTTAGGTTAATGGCGGCCGGTAGGTTAGGCATAGCATAGCATAACTTAGGATAAGTTAGGTTAGGTTAGGTTAGGTTAGGTTAGGTTAGGTTAGGTTAGGTTAGGTTAGGTTAGGTTAGTGGCGGCCGGTAGGCCGCTAGTTATGTCAGATTATCTTCTATTGCTGAGTTAACTTTATTATTATAGTGTATATTATTATAAGTAAATATATTATAAATGTGAATAACTTTTTAACCTTTGACCTCAGTCTTCTAATATTTCACATACATATACTAGACATCATACCAAACCTAAATCTACCCCCACACCCGCCTCCTTCGCGGGCCATATAGTAAAGTGCAGCCAAAATTTGAATTTTATTAAAAAAAATTATAATATATTGTATAATATTTATTATTATTTAATTGTTAGAACGGACTGAGAGGATGGAACCTAATAGGAAAGGTGTGTCTAATTTTTTTTTATATAATTATTAATTTGTTTGTTAAAAATTGTATTTTTAATTTTTTTATTAAATCAATTTGAATTATATTAGCAAATGTGCCAACAATTACCACAACAGTTGATAATAATGATGATAAGGATAGCGTCAATATTTCAGGTTATTATTATTTTTTCTTAAAAAAAATAAATAATTTACATAATTTATGATTACCTAGTTAATTTTGATATATTATTTAATTATTTATATTTACCAGTAATTAATATATTTTATTTAAAAAAAACAATAGACGAATATAAACTTAATTTAAGTCAGAATATTAAGAAAATTATTGGCGAAAATTTGGATAATTATTTGCGCCTAAAATTGAATAAAAGTGCCATAAAAGAGGATATACGACAAAAATTATTATTGATTATGCAAAATAATGATACTGGGTACTTTTTTATTTATTTATTTATTTACTGAAAAAAATATATCTATCTATCAATGCATTACAAATTGTTTTTGAAAATTAATTAATTAATTTTTTTTATAGCAATTCAAATACTATTACTGATAATACTTTTGGTAAGTTTTATAACATTATTATTAGTATATTAGTATTATAATAATATTATTAACATTATTTTTTTTATAACAATAATATTTTTGATGAATAGATACGGATAATAGTGATGACAGTGTTGTTGTTGTCGGTGATGATGTGACTGAGTTTGACTGTGATATATGTGGCGCCGAAAGCCTGCCAATTGATGGGGCCGTTAGCTACGGTTGTCAGCACCGGTATTGCGACGATTGTGTACGACAAACGCTAACCATCGAAATACAGGACAATCGTATTGAATCGCTTGCCTGTCCGGCACCCGATTGTACAGCTAAGGCCACACCGCAACTGGTCAGACGTATTGTTGGCCCCGAGTTGTATAACCGATACGATCAGCTATTGCTTAAGGCAGCTGTCGGTGCTATGGATGATGTGGTAAAATAGTTATTGCTGTTAAAAACTATAGTGTTTTTTTTTAAATATTGAAATATTTTATTTTATTTTTTTATACGACAAACTGTCAAATACTAGAAAATTGTTTAATTAATTTATTAGTTTAGATATTAATTCAATATATTAGGAACCCTTGAATATATGGCATTTATATATATAATTTTAGATCTAACTTTAAGTTGTCATTCAATATTATAGTTAGCAAACAAACAAAATTTTTTTTTTTGGTTTTTTTTAACTTTTAATACTAATAATAATTTTAAAAATTACAGGTACAGTAAATATACAATATATATAAAAAGTTATTAAATTTATAATATTTTACTAATATATGATATAACATAACAGTAGATTTGTTTTTATTATAATTAATTTTTACAATAATTTGTTTTTTAATAATTTTACAATAATTTGTTTTTTTTTTAAATTAATTTTTACAATAATTTTGTTTTTGTTATTTATAAATAATAATACAGCATTACTGTCCCAACACTGATTGCGGTGCAATGGTAGTGGCCGAAATCGATCTGGCCATGGGCGACTGTCCCCGATGTGGCCTTGCATTTTGTACCAGCTGTATGAAACCATATCATGGCGGCTACGATTGCGGTCTGGACACTAGGGAACGGGACGATATGGTACAGATGTTCCAGAGTGCAGAACTGGCCGAACAAATGCAGGCCGAAGAGGACGAACTGATGAAAGCCATAGCCGAAGCCGAACGGGAGGACTGGGATTGGATTGACCGGATCCGAGACGAACAGAAAGCTATTAGACAGCAGGAGATGTTGTTGGAAGAGCAGAGAAAAGCCGACGAGGAAAGGGCTGCCGAAGAGAGGAGACGTAAGGATGGCGAACGGTTTAGACGAGAGGCTGAACTGAGGGAACGGGAGATTATTGCCGCACAAGCCGTCGAACGGGAGCGCCGGTTGAAGGATCGTCAAGAGGGCCGACAGCGTGAGGAACGCGAGTCCGAACAGCTTGTCCGCCAAGTGAGCCGTCCCTGTCCTCGATGTAAAGCACCCATTCAGGTATGCATACCATCTCTCTCTCTCTCGTTAACAATGTTTACAATTAGTTTTGTGTTTAATAATAATAATTCAATTATTTTATATGTTTTGTATTTTTTTATGAGTACTAATATATATATACTCTATATATTAATATAGATATAGACATTACCTATTTAAATATTAAGCTATAATTAATAGTTTTAATTATATATTATTAAACATTAATTTCATAATTGAAAATATTGTTATGGATATTAATTAGTATAATAATAATAATAATAATAATAATAATAATATCTCTGATAGAAAATATCTGGGTGCAATCATATAACATGCAAAAAGTGTGGCCACCAATTTTGTTTCAATTGTCTAACTGATCGACATTATAGTTGCGGCGAAATATAATAAACTAAAATTTTTAATTTTTGAATTATTATACAATATTTTTGTTGTTGAGTAAAATAGTTACAATCTATTAATATATTTATAAATAATTATTGTAATTATAATGTGTAAATTTAATGTACGGTTTACAGTAGATAACTATTTTGAAAACATTTTGATAATTGATTAGCAATATAGAAAAAATGTTAAACTATTTTTGTTTTTGTTTTTTTTTGTTGTAAATAATTTCAAATATTAAAACAATTTTTACTGCAAATACTATAAATAATTGTATTATAAATTGTTTTATAATTTAGAAAATTTTGTGATCTTGAAAATCAAATTTACGTTTTTATTTGAAACAATAATTAGTTGAATTTGAAAATAACAATTAAATCAAATGCTAATAATTTAGTTTTGCTAAATATATATATATATATATATTAATTGTAAATAAATTTTATTATAATGATGATTTGTTTTGAAATTTTAATAAATTATTAATACTTTACTACTAAATATAGTTATTAATGTAAAATTTATAATTATTGAAAACAAATAATTTATATTATTTAAAAATATTTATTAAAATATATAAATAGCCGATAAAACAGATACAAGAAATAATAATATATATTATAATTATTATGTTAAATACATAGTACTAAATATGTTTATTATTAATTTTTTGTAATTATTTAATTTAGTAATGATAATAATTTAGCACTAAATTTTTTTTTTAAAAAAATAATAATTACTGTATTCAACATTAAGTTTAAATATACTATCGGTAATAATATTTAAGTAAATATAATATACTTTTTTTTAAAGTTTATTACAAAAGTAACAAATAATACTAAATATGTTTATTATTATTTTTTTGTAATTATTTAATTTAGTAATGATAATAATTTAGCACTAAATTTTTTTTTAAAAAATAATAATTACTGTATTCAACATTGATTTTAAATATACTAATCATATTTAACTAACTATAATAATATACTTTTTTAAAAATTTATTACTAAAGTAACAAATAATACTAAATATGTTTATTATTATTTTTTTTGTAATTATTTAATTTAGTAATGATAATAATTTAGGATTAATTTTTTTTTTTAAAAATAATAATCACTGTGTTCGACATTGATTTTAAATATTTATATTATAATTTATAATATAATTTAATATTTATTATATAATATACTTTTTTTAAAAAAAATTATTACTATAGTTAGAAATAAATTATTTTTATTTTATTTTTTTAAAATTTTTTTTTAAATAATTATTAAATCTACAGAAAAATGAGGGCTGCAATCATATGACGTGTACAAAATGTCGTTACGAATTTTGCTGGGAGTGTATGGGCTATTGGCAAGGGTACAATCATATTTGTGCTAGGTAATATACCTCATAGCCCACCCCTGCCCGCCCCCGCCCCCACCCCACAAAAATAAATAAATATCTTACTGTGCCAAAAATAATTTTCAAAATACAATACTCTATTAAAAAAAAATATTTTTTAATTATATATATATTTTGAGTGCAATTTTTTTTAATACAGTAGATTTTTTTAGCTTTTTAAAAAATTATGTTTTTATTATTAATAATTATTTTTAACATTTACGGAAATTATATTACTGTATTAAATTGTATTGTATTGTTTTAAGTATTTTTTTTTTTAAATATATATGTATAACAAATTGTTAAAAATCATTTTAAAAACAAAAATTAAATAAAAATTATTTTTAAAAACAAAATTGACTTATATATATTATTATAAACAAAAATTAACAATTATTTTTACCGCAATTACTTTTTAAATTAATAAAATACAAAAAATAAATAAATTACTAGTGCTATCTAGTTGTGCCAACTATTGTATATTATCATTATATAATATTGCTAATATTTAATACTTAATAAAACATATGGGGGCACACCCATAAAAAAAATTATACTGCATATTATGCTACTATAAATATGATACAACTAAATAAAAATTAATTAATTAATTACAAAACCAATTAAATATTAACTTTGAACACAATGTAAGTCTTTATACTATATATATATATTTTTTTATAAATATTTTTTTTTAATTTTAAAAATAATAATCTAGTTTTATTAGATAATTATTATCTATTTGAAAAAAAACTGTCAAAAAATTGTTTTTAAACAAATAGTCTATTATATTGTTGTAATCTATGTATATATTGAGTTTTGTTTTGACTTTCACTTTTTTTTTATATATATATATATATATATATATATATATATATATATATACTATTACTACTACTACTATAAAATGATTAATAATTATTTATATATATTTTTTGTAACAGTAACTATAATCACTTGTATCACTTATACATGTACATTTTTTTGTTGTTGATAATAAAATAAACATTAGCATTTAAAACATATTTGCATAGCATAGGCTGTTTTGTTTGCAAAACAGTTTTAAAAATAGACATAAAAAATATATTGAAAATAAATCACGGTTTGGTTTTTAGGGTTTTATATACAAAATAGAGTATATATTATATATATATATATATATATATCAAATATTATTTTAAATAAAAGCAGATTTTCAGTGATAATGATTAGTTTTTTAAAATAAATAAATATTTATTATTTATTTATGTATAAATATATATTAATTGTTTTTAAAACTTTATTTAAAAATTATGGAAAATAAAAATTGATTTTTTTTTTAAATTGCTATATAAATTGGTCGGTTCGGTTATTATTTTTATTAACTTACTAGTCATCTAGTCTAAACTTTTTTTATAAATATACAAATGTACATGTAAATAAAATATATGTACAAGTGCGCTTTACGTGCTGTATTAATAATTTTAAAAATAAAAACATTAATTAAAGTAAGTAATAATAAATAATATTAATATTAAAAATAAAATGATTAAAAAATGAGAGTTTAATAATAAAAAAAAATTGAAAAATATATGATATTTTAGTAATAAAATATTGATTTTTATTTTATTTTTTTTTGAAATTTTTAGTTTTCAATTGAATAGCAAATAATTTATTATTTTTTTACATAACAAAAATCATATTAAAAAAAATTAAAAAATAAAATAATGTCTGGTTTTGGTCGTCGACCTAACTATCATCTCATAAGACCATCGACGGTAATAACATCGTCAGACACAATGCGGCCATCGTTGACGACTACCAGCAGTATCGGCGGTGGCGGTGACCGCAGCGACCAACATAGCTGGCGGACAACAGCGGGAAGAGAGCCGTTTAGGCCAAAGGCTGGCTTAGTTACCGCTGGTGCCGATACCGATGACAACCGAATGTCGGTTATCAAAGGTCTGGACACTAGCCGTGACAGGGATGAGCTGACAGCCGTTCGCCGACTGGTTAGGCAGTGGTCTGATCCGAAATTAAGTGAATATTTTGTCCAATCGGTTACCGGTAATATCAAAGGCCGTTACGCTAGCTGTAAGGTTAACCTGTTTGTAACGGCCGCCAGTCCGGCAGCCAATCGGCTGCTACTTCAGGCTGCAGATAAGTATATCAATAATAGTAACGGTGGCGGAACTGCTATCAAATGGGAGGCATACAAGAGCCGACAGCGACAGCAACCGCCACCAGTACCGGCTGGCCATAGGACTGGACATCACGGGACTGGTCATCATCACCAGCAGCAGCAGCAGCTCTTTCGCGGTAACGATGACGGCTCGCATACGGCTGGCAATTGTAAATCGGTAATCAAAGGATTGGACACCAGAGGTGTCCGTAATTTGACTGATTATGTCCGCCAGTTGGTCGACATCTGGAACGATGGGACAGTTAGCGGCCGTTTGATTTCAAAAGTAGAGACCAATACCCGCGGACATGGACCCGACGTTCTGGACGGTAAAGTCAACTTGTTTGTAACGGCTGTATCGAGTGAGGCCAGCCGTGCGCTGGTAGTGGCCGCCAAACGCAACGGTATTCAATGGATAAAGTATATGAGCAGTGGTGGCGGAGGCGGCAGACATACCCGTAGTAACAGTGATAGTCGTTCAGTGATCACCAATGATGACGACAACGACGACTTTAGCGATAATAATGATGTCGATGATAGTGATGACGATTCATCATCATTATCATCATCATTGGCCAATCAATATCATCCAGGTTAGTTATTGATAGTTATTTAATTTTATTTTTTATAAAAAAAATTGTTTGTAACATCCCCTCCTACCCCCCTACCCCGCTACCCCCTCTCGCGCATCCCAATAGTTTTCAAAAATATTGATAAATTGATTGACTCGGAGTTGGATAGTCTAAAATTGAATGCCAGGACTACCGGTGGTACTACTAATGGTTTTACTAATAATAATACAGGTGCCAGACAACGACCGACACCACCACAATCACTATTCAATCAACAAAATCAACAAAAAATTAAAAGCAATTTTGATAGGAATAGAGTCGCCAAACAATTAGGAAATAAATCGCTTAGTGAGTGTATGTAAATTATGTGTGTGTGTGTGTGTGTGTGTGTGTGTGTGTGTGTGTGTGTATGTATGTGTGTGTGTGTGTGTGTGTGTATGTATGTGTGTGTGTGTGTGTGTGTGTGTGTGTGTGTGTGTGTGTGTGTGTATGTATGTGTATGTATGTGTATGTATATGTATGTATATGTATGTATATGTATGTACAGTATATGTATGTACAGTATATGTATGTATATGTATGTATATGTATGTATATGTATGTGTATATATGAAAACTAATCTAACTGTCCTCTCTCTCTCTCAATTTGATTATCATTTTTGTTACATACGATTAGTTGTCTATTGTAAGCTATGTCTGGATCAGCGGCCCACTGATGAGTGCCAACAGTTTGGCACCGCCGGCGGCGGCGACTGTCGACACGTATTTTGTCGGGAATGTTTGTCCCAGTATTTGGACACTCAGATAACGGATGGTCTCATACATCATATCAAATGTCCGGACGACCAGTGCACGGCTGAGGCCGCCTACGAATTGGTTTGCAAACTGTTGAGCCGTAAATCGCTGGTCAGATATCATAAACTGTTGCTCAAGAAAACTGTGGAAACTATGGATGATATAGTAATTAATATTAAATTATTTTTTTTTAATTATAAATTTAACATATTTTTTGTACAATTTATAGGCCTATTGTCCCAAATGTAACGATTCGGTTGAGATCGACACCAACCGAAAGTATGGCTACTGTGAACAATGCGAACACCCATTTTGTACGGGTTGTCGACGAAAATATCACGGCTCGCAAAGCGCGTGCATCGACAATGACCGGGCGCTTAGGCAACGGGCGGCCGAAATCCAAGAGTCCGAGAGCTATATTAACGCACATTTCAAGCACTGCCCTAAATGTGATATACCCTGTGAGGTATGTGTGTGTATGTGTGTGTGTGTGTGTGTGTGTGTGTGTGTGTGTGTGTGTGTGTGTGTATTTGTGTGTGTGTGTGGTATTTATATTAAAAAATGTTTTTAAATAATAATAATTATTATTTTTTAGACTATAAAAACTAATTTATTTAACTATAAAACTAATTTATATTAAATAAATTTATTTTATTTTTTTAAATTAAAATTATTGTAGAAAATTGATGGTTGCAATCATATGCAATGTAAAATGTGCATGGTACATTTTTGTTGGCTATGTTTGATGGATATTACCGATAATGATGAGATACAACAACAACACTGGAGGGCTAAATGTAAACTATTTGAATACGAATCGGATTAATATTATTTTTTTAAAAAAAATTTAAGTTAAAATATAAAAAAAAATAATTATTATTAATAGAAATTAATTACTAATTATTTTATATTATTATTGGAAAATAATCACTAGTTTTTTTTGTGAAATTTATTAACTTTATTAATATTAATTATACACTATATTTCTATTATAAATTTACATTTATCATTTAATTTTTTTTCTTCAAATTTGTTACTTTTACAACAACAAAAAAAATAATAATAATCAATTTGAGTCTATTAAATAATAATAATAAAAAAATAACTAATTATTTTTTAAAAAATATATTTAAGTTAAAATTTTAAAAAAATAATTAGTATTAATAAAATTAATTACTAATTATTTTATATTATTATTAGAAAAAATCATATGTTTTTTGTGAAATTTATTAACCTTATTAATATTAATTATATACACGGATTATGATCTACCGAAGACTCGGGCCCTTTTTATGTATATTACATATGTTTTTTGTGTAACTATATCTCTATTAAATAATTATATAATTACATAAATGATGTCGCATTTTTTTAAACAACACATGACAATATGGTATCTTTTATAATTATCAAATGTAGCATAAAAAACATAAGTAACATAAATAAAAAAGTACCGAGTTTGTTCTGAAAATGTTTAGTGTATATATTTCTATAATTAATTTACATTTATCATTTAATTTTTTCAAATTTGTTACTTTTACTATTTTATTAAAATCAATTTGAGTCTATTAAATAATAATAATAAATAAATAAATAACTACCGTAATTATTTTGTAAAAAATCAAATATATGATATTAATTAATAATATATAAATAAATAAAATAAATAATATTTATATATATGTGTAAAATATCAAAAATGATTTAATAACTAATATTACATTATATACTTGACGTATTACATAACTACAGTAAATATATCATATTTACCGGTACTGTAAGTATTTAACTACAATAGTAACCATTGATTAAAATTTAAATAAATTATTATATCATTCAAATAGATAGATAAGAAGTTAGTGATTGAATTTAATATACAGTAAAGTACAGTAAAATTTACAATATATTATGCATGTATTACATGAATGTTTACTTTAATAATAAAAAAAATATAACTACCTGTGCACTATGACTACCAGTGCGCCTGTCTATTACATACATATGATAATATAGTTTGTTTTAATAAACTTGAAAACTTGTAAACTTTTATTTTATTTTTATTACTATTAATAGTTTTGTTTGATTTTTTCTTGTTGTTGTTGTATTAGCAACAGTTAGTTAGCTTTTTTGTTGTTGTTGTTGTTGTAGTTGTTTTACATAAACTAATTTAATTAATTAATTAAATAACAGTTAGATTACTGTATAATAGTAGTGTAATAGTAATAATAATAATAATATTTTTTTTCTAAATAACTGTACATTTTTTTTAAATGTTAAAATAATAGTCATATTATTATACAGTAATATATGATATCATATATACTGTACAGTAATATATCATAACTTTTTTTTAATGTGATTAAAAAGTTTCATATCATATATACTATCCTAACATATCATATATCATAATATGTTTGGCAATAATCGCGGCAATAGTAGTCATAATCACCGCACGGGAGTAGCGGCGGCGGCAACCGTTCGGCCATTAAATGGCAACAGTCGTCAGCGTCGAGTGGCCGCCGCAACTAACTCGGCTAATAACGGTTACCACTCATACTCGGCCAACAACACCAACAACAACAACAACGAGGACACGATGTCTGTCATCAAAGGTCTGGACACTTATCCGGATAGCAATCTTGTGGCAATCGTCCGGCGATTGGTCGCCGGCTGGCGCGACCCGAAATGTCCGGCCGATTTGATCGACTCAGTCGAACGTAATACTACATCGGTTGCGGCGACAATGACCCGCAACACAAGTAAGGCTAACCTGTTTGTAACGGCCGTCAGCCGAGAGGCCAATCGGGCACTGCTGGCCGGCGCCCAACGACATCTCAACAGTGATCACTTCGGTGGCCGCCGACGCGGAAGAGGCGGTGGAGGCACCGCCGCCGAAATTGGTGTCAAATGGCTGCCATATCGTAGCTCATCGGACAATAGACGTGACAAAGATTCCCGACAATGGGACGACAAGCAGTCATCGGCGGCGGCGACGTGTAAATCGGTAATCAAAGGCCTGAACACTAAACATGTACACAATCTGACCGGTTATGTCCGTCAAATGGTCAACAAATGGAACGATCGGACAGTTAACGGTCGGCTAATCAAATCGGTAGAGATTAACACTAGAAACACTGTCGGCGGCGGCGGCGGACACCGACAACTGGACAGCAGTAAAGTCAATCTGTTTGTGACGGCCGTCAGCCGACAGGCCAGCCGTTCGCTGGTTATGGCGGCCAAACGTAACGGCTGTGGACCGGGTATTGTATGGACAAAGTATATGAAACACGAGGACAACAATAGTATTACCAGTGGTGGTAGCCCTTCGGTGATGACCAACGATGACAGCGATGATGATGTTGATGGCGACTACTGTGATAATAGTCGGCAATCTGGTCACCGTAAAAATTATCCGCATAATCATCAAGGTATGATTATTATTATTTTTTAACTTATCGGTAAACTTAATTTACCGGTAAATTAAAATTACCGTAATTTTCAATTTTTTATTAAATTTTTTTGTTGTTTAAAAAAATCTATCGCTAGTTCCCAGTCATAAGGATTTAATTGATAAATTGAATCAACTATTGTTGTCGACAACAACAACAACAACAACTACCAGTGCCAGCCATAGTAATACTGGTGCCAAACAAAAGCAAACATCAATCGGTAAACATTACACTAATCATCAGTCGTCTAATAATTGTGGCGATAATAGTATCAAAAATAATAATAATCATAATATAAATAATAATATTAATATTTCCGGTAATAATACTGTTCCCAATAAAACAATGGGACAGTTGGCCAAAAATTCAAGTATGAATTTAAATATTTTAATCAATCAAATTAATTGTGAAAAAGATAAATATTTACCGGTAATTAATTTTTAACTTTAATTTTTTTAATTAAATAGTTACCAATTATTGCCAATTATGTCGCAATTGGATAGCAATAAATGATGGCCAACAATTTGACGGCACCGCCGCCGCCGCCACTGCCAGCTCCGGGTGCCGACACGTCTATTGTCGCGAATGTTTGGCCCAATATTTGGACAGTCAGATAACTGACGGTACAGTACATCATATCAAGTGTCCGGACAGGCAGTGTTCGGGCGAAGCCGCCTACGAACTGGTATGCAGACTGTTGAGCCGTAAATCGCTGGTCAGATATCATAAACTGTTGCTCATTAAAACATTGGATACTATCGAGGATACGGTATTTCTATATAAAAAAAATTAAATAAATATTATTTAATTTTTTTTAAATAAAATAATTACCGTACTTATCGGTAATTAATTTTATAGGCCTATTGTCCAAAATGTAACGATTCGGTTGAGATCGACAGCAGCCGAAAGTATGGCTACTGTCTTGGTTGCGATTACGCGTTTTGCGCGTGTTGTCGACTCGGCTATCACGGCTCGCAGAGTGCGTGCTCTATCGGTACGGGTGCTACCGATAAGGACGTCCAGCCCGGCGACAAACAACGCCGGTTGGTCAACGGTAACAGTGGCCGCAGCCCGGATGGTCTACACGAGTCGGTAAACTTTATACGCGCTCATTACAAAAAGTGTCCAAACTGTGGCTTCACGTGCGAGGTTTGAACGGGTTTTTTAATTGAATTGTTTTTTAATTGAATTGTTTTTTTATTTGTTTTTTTTAATATTTATTTTTAAATTTTTAAAAATATATACTGTACTGTAGAAAATTAATGGCTGCAATAATATGCAATGCAAAATGTGCATGATACATTTTTGTTGGCTATGTTTGATGGATATTACCAACAATGAGACCCGGGTTATACACTATCTGACAACTAATTGTAAATTGAATACAATTTAGGAAAAAAGTGCCAATTTTTTTAATTACCGGTATTATTCAAAATGACATTAATTTTTTTGTTAATAATTTGTTAGTAAAAAATAACAACAACTAAAATATCTTTAATTACTAGTAATCATACAATTATTATTTTACCTAATAATTACTTTTTTTCTCTCTCTCTCTCAATAAATCTACCAAAAGTGTAAAATCAAACAAACAAAATATATTGTAATAAATTTAAAATACAAAAAAATACATTAAAAATACAAAAAAAAATACATTAAAAATATTAAAAATACAAAAAAACATTAAAAATACAAAAAATATTAAAAATACAAAAGATATTAAAAATACAAAAAATATTAAAAATACAAAAAACATCAAAAATAAATGTAATATATTTTATAATGTTAATTACAATTAATATGATATCGTTGAAAAATTAAAAACATAATATGTTATTTAATTAAAACAAAATGTTTATAATTTATTATTAATAATTATGCTATTGATAATTTTTTAAATAATTTATTAATAATAACTAAATGTAAAATAATATATATATATACAGTATATATATTCAAATATCTTATTTATTTAATTTATATTTCTGTAATATATAATAGTTTTAAATATCTGCTATTATTCTATGATAACTAAAATACTGATAGTTATTATAGGTGTTTATGTTATATTATATAAGTAAATAAAATTATTTGTTAAAACTAATAAATAATTGTTTTTATAAGTATAATTGTTTGGTCTAGTTTTAAACACAATATATTCTATTTTTAAATTAAATTAATATTTTATATAATTCTATAAAAAATTATATTATACTTTAATAAATACTAAAATAATAATTATTATTATTAAATATTTCCATTTTTTTTACTAAACTAAACATGCAAATAAATAATTAAATTTATGAATAATTTTTAGAAAATTAATATTTTTAGTATTATTAGTTTGATTAAATAATATGGTTTTTATATTAATTACTAATTAATAATTAGACCAAAATAATAGTTATTTATTTCTAAAAAAATTATTATAAAACACTAAAATATCCTTATAGTTATTGATTAATTGAATTTTATTAAAAATATATTAATGATAATTTAGCATGTTTAGTTAGTTAGCTAAAAATAATATAAATAAAACTTGTTATATGAATAATTATGTTATTATTAAAAAACATAGTTTTCATATATACTGATTAATAAAATAAATTTAATTGCAAGTCTAGTTTTATTATATAATATATATTATACTATTAATTTATTATTTATATATACCGTATATCTATAATGCAAATATGATAACTAATAAATTGATGACCAATTATTATAATATAAGATTTGCCGATAAAATGGTTAAATGGTTACACAATCGTTATATAATAAATATGAATCGTTTTATTGTTGATGACAAATATTATTTGCTAATTAATTTATTATTCAAATTTAATACATTTTTATGTATTTGTCGGGAAATTGGTTTATATATAGGCAACAGTAATAAAAGTAGTAGTAGTCGTAGTAGTAGTAGTAGTAGTAGTAGTGCTAATAGTAATAATAATAATAATAAAGTTTGGTCTAACCGATGGCTTATCCGTTTTCTATGCGATCCGACCTATTTGTACGGTAATTCACAATTAATTGAAACATTCATATTGTTGGCACACTTGACACTAATTATTGGTTCGTTTGCAATGTTATGGTACCAGTTGTTTGAAACCAATTATTTTAAACAATTAATTACTGATGTAATCAATCTATTGAAAATGAAAACCAATTTAAATAATGTTAATACTGTAAAAAAGCTATACTACTATTTTGTTGTCATAACATTTCCCAATAGATATATTTATTGGTTTGTTTATATCTATTTGAATTTAGTTCACAGTTTGCCAATGTGTATGGCATACTATGATCGACACCTAAACTACCAACCAATCAATATTATCATATGTTTGCTGATGACTGCCATCGATGTATTCAATGGTCTAAACTATATGTATATATTGATTGTTAGTTCAATAGTTTACGGTATTATATTTGATGATATGTTTACTGAATTAAACAATCAATTATTAGCTATTACTAAACAACAAATTCAATGTAATAGTAGGCAATCATTGCCGACATTAAATAATTTGAAACTATTGTCGACAATTGATAGACACAATAAGCTAACTGTCCTCATCACTAATATTAACCGTTTACTATCGAAAGCCATATTTCTATTATATTTTGTCGGATCAACTGCTTTACTATTACTACTATATCAGACACAACATCGCGATTCAAGTCAATTGTTTAAAACAATAATGATTTTAATGTTTCTATTAGTTTTGATTAATTCATTACTGAATAGCTATATGTGCGGTAAAATACCGGCCAAAGCACACAAACCATATGCCCTAATGTTTTCATTGTTAGCTAATAATAATAATAATAATAATAATAATAATAATAATAATAATAATAATAATAATAATAATAATAATAATAATAATAATAATAATAATAACAATAATAATAATAATAATAATAATAATAGTTGTCTTAAGGGTCGGCACTTGACATTAGTTGAGCGTTTGAAATGCGAAACATTTATCGGACGACTAAGTGGACCGACAATTGGTTTCTATTGTTTATCGCTATTTCCGATAACTAATTGGGAAATATTTCAATTATTACTAATTTGTAGCTCAAATTATATATTTATTATTGGCTTATTTTAACAATTTCTAATAAACAAATTAAAATCAGTTGAAAATGCTAGAAAGCATTTCCATACGAACTCCTAATACGAAATTAAATTAAAATCAAATGCTTTTGTATGACAAAATAAACTCAACTTTAGTCATATGGGGTATCAAATGCTTCAATATGACAAAATAAATTCAACTTTAGTTATTTGGGGTATCAAACTGTGAATATGAAAAATAATGAATATCTATGGACTACTCTATGAAATCGGCGGTACTATTGGTTTATGGATCGGCATATCTGTTGTAACCATCAGTAAAATAACTATTTATATAAAACATATAATCAATTGGGCCAAACATTTTTACGGCAATTAAAAAAAACTCAATCAATTAATTATTTTATCTATCCTTTATAACTAAATTAATTACTAATTTAAATTTTATCTTTAAAATTAAAAAATTTATATTTATAACATTAAGATTCACATTTATACTTAAAGCATTTTCAATAGATAGCTCATAATTAATTGATAATTTTAATTAATAATATAGTATCTATGAAATCTATTTATTTGTTCGTTTAATAAAAATTTAACAAAATTTTATGTTAATTTAAAAATTAATAATAATATAATTAAGTATTTATCTAATTATATATGTTATAAAATTAAAATTTTAAACAAATAAAAAAATTTACTGTACATTTTAAAATACATTGTGGATCAAGTAGTTATCCAAAAAAAATAATAATCTGTTTAAACATATATTTTATTGGGAATAAACTTTAAATAATTAATAATTACACTAAAAAAATAGTAAAAAATATTTTTCATAATTTGTAATACTGTAGATACAGTTATCTGTGTAATCTAATAAATATATTAATGTTGAATTTGATTGAAAATATAATTATCTAAATAACTATTAAACGATTTTTAACAAAAATTTTTAAAACTAGCATTGAATTAATTGACTAAACCGACACATTTTCAGCACCGTATGGTATCAGTGATGGAAACAAAACAAACAATTAACTGATGGGACGACTACTTCAACCAAAAAAAATCCCAGAACTGAATGTATGTTAAATGTTATGACTGATAGTGTAGTATAGAAAATGTAATTATAATTACTATTGGACTCAATATCCTATTGATAATAAATCACACATTTTATCGCTTATTAATTATTATTATAATAATAATCTAAGCGCTAATAATAAATATTACTCATTGTATTGTTGGTTACAATTGTTGGTTAATTACTATCAAAAAATGTAAACCCGATTGTAATCACTATACGTATAAAATTATACAAACATAATAGATGTTGAATGAACAAAAAAAAATTTTTTTATATAGATTTAAAGTAAAATTAATTACTATTTAAATTATTGATAATAAACTTACCGGTGATTTTAACAGTAATTTTAATCATTAATAAGTACATTATCATAACCAAAACAAATAATGTTATTAATTTAGTTACAATTGGAACAATTTTATTATAATTAATTGCACCAGTTACAAAAAAAATAGTTAATTAATTAATTTTATTGAAATAACAGTTAATTATATGGGGATTATCTTAAAACTCGACTAATTTCGACTACTCGACTATTGATAGTATATATATATAAATAAAGTATTAATTAAATCCTATATAATATTTATATATATATATATATATATATATTGTATTACTTAAATTTAAAAATTATATATTAAAATAATTATTTTATATAAAAAAACTAAAAATTATTCCAGCAAGTTTTTATCGTTTATCTTGACGATTACCTAAATTTAATAAAATAAATAAATAATAAAAAAAATTATAAAACAATTTTTGTTTAAAAAAAATTAAACATCAATTTTACTACCGATTTGACGTTGAGATACTCTCGTAGACAGTCTTTGCCAAATACTCGGCCAAATCCTGATTGTTTGCAACCGCCGAACGGCATCTGCACTCTAAACGAACGGTGCATATTGATGGCTACCTTTCCGACTTGCAGTTCACTGGCGACTACCAGTGCTTTGTTGATATCATCGGTAAAAACACCCGCATTCAGACCGTAGTCACTGTTATTTGCCCTATCAATGACTTCGTCGATTGTACTAAACTTAAGTATACACTGAACCGGTCCGAAAATTTCCTCTCTGGCTATAGCATGACTGTCCTCGATGTCGGCAAAACTATTATATACATAGAAAAGTATTGAAAAATTATATATATATATATATAGAAATATTTTCGGTATATTCAATATAGATTACACAGTGGGCTCAATATAGTATCCTTGAGTACCCCATCGTTTGCCACCAGTCAACAGTCGGGCGCCTTCCCGGACACCCGTCTCTATCATTGACATAACTTTTTCATATTGTCGGCCATCGATTAGTGGACCAAAATTTGTTAACGAATCGTACGGATTGCCCAACACTATCGATTTGTTGGCCAACTCTACCGATTTATCAACAAATTTATTGTATATCGATTCGTGAACATAAATAAGACCGGGTTTACAGCAAGTTTGACCTTGATTATTGAATGTTGTCTGGTGCTAATTTATTTTAAATAATAATAATAATTATTATTATTAATTATAATTATATCTTTTACTACTAATAATAATATGATAATATCTATTATTATTATTAATAATAATAATCATATCTAATAAAAATAATAATAATATCTATTATTAATTAATTAATTTTCTTATATCAATTAGTTTACCGCTTCTAATACTGCACTATCGATATCGGTGTCCGGAAATATAATAAGCGGCGATTTGCTACCCGTTTCAAGCGATAGACTTTTGCCGTTTGACTGGCCGACAGCCAACTGAACGAGTCGTCCGACACGTGTGGAGCCGTTGAAAAATACTTTATCCACATCCATGTGCTCGGCCAGTGCACGACCAGCTGTCTGGCCAGAACCGGGTACTATGTTGACAACACCTGCCGGAAAACCGGCCTCCAATATCAAACTGGCCACATATAGTATAGCTAAAGTTGACTTAAATATAATTGTTCATAAATTTTATTATATTATATTATAACTTAATTATATATATATATATATCTAATAATTATATACCTGTTCGGCGGGTTTAACGACAACAACATTACCGGTGGCCAATGCGGGACCCAATTTACCCGCCAATGAAAACAATGGAGTATTCCACTAAAAAAAATAAACAAAATAATTATAATTTAGTTTATTTTTGTTGAGTTACTACTTATAAGTCAATAGATTATTATAATAATTAATAACAACAACAACAAAAAATGTTTGGTTAGATTACTGTTAGTATTTGACCGCAAACGCCAATCGGTTCGAGTCGGGTAATGGCCAACAATTTGTTTTGGCGGCCGTTATCGTTGTCGGCCGGCACTGTCTTTCCATGAAATTTATCCGACCAACCGGCATAATAGCGAATAATCTTAACAACTCTGACTATCGATTGGCTAACCGACATATATACGGCACCGGTGTCCAATGTGGTCAATTCGGCCAAATAGTCGGCATCCCTATCAATCAAATCGGACAATCTATACAATAGTCGACCCCTTTCGGAGGCGTCAATTGTACGCCAAACTGATCCCTTATGATGATGATGATGATATTAATAATAAATTAATTATTCAAGTAAATATCCGCGAGAGGGGGGGGGTTTGCTAACCCGTTTGAAGGCTAGTCGGGCGGCTTTGACTGCCTTATCGATGTCTCGATTGTCGGCCGACTGTATCCGAGCTATCGATTGTTCTGTTGTCGGGTTTATTGTTTCAAATGTATTACCGTTTTCCGAGTTTAGCCATTCATTGTTTATAAATAGCTAATTATAAATAATTTATTAATTAAATTTTAAAAAAACAATAATAATAATAATAAATTAAATAAAAAATAAAATTAATAAACTTGTAATTATAATCTATATAATTTTTATTGTTAAGTTAAATGTTTATAATATATGATTTTTATTTATTTAGTTAAAAAAAAACTAATATATTTTTATATATTATTTATTAGTTTAATATTTATAAATAATTAACAATAAATAAAAAATATATTAATAAAGTTTTTTTTTAATTATTAATTTTATTTATTACCTGTGTGTATTTAATTTCTGGATTACGATTTATTTCAGACATTATTTATAAAAAAAAGTTGATTTTATAAAAAAAATTAAATATTATAATTATTTTCAATAATATTAATAATTTTTTTGACTTGTTATTAATACTTGTTATAATTATAATGATTTGAATTACTTTTTATTTTGTAAATTTATTTATTAGTTTTTATTTTAAACATCATACTGTTATTTCAAAAAATATTAAAAATCATTATATATAAAAATGACATAGTATTTTTATTTTTATTTTTTTTTAAAAAAACATTCAATACCTACAAACAAACTAAAATAATTATTTTATCATGACGTACATAAAAAAGACTAAATTATTTTTTTTTATAAATAATGTTATAGGTAGTCAATGCTATTTCAAAGTTATATTTCTTAGCGCTTTAAGGCTAATGCAATAGTGTGTAATGCAATAGTATGTCAATGCCATAGCATAAAAGCATTTTCAAGCAATTAAAATATTTCATTTAAAATTTATAAAATAACACATTAAATTTTATATTGAAGCCAAGACTGTATTTCACACTAAAACAATGACTTTTTTATTACTTTGAAAAAAATATTTGAAAAACCTTATTTTAATTGCTAAAATTTCAGTCATAAAAATTTATAGAAAGCACTGAAATGTTATACAGAAAACAAAGGTAAAATCCTTGTTTTTTTAGAGTTTTATTAATGCACTGAAATGTTATACTGAAAAGAAAATAGTAAACTCCCAGTTTTAAAAAAAATTAAAAGCTTACTCAATTTGACCCACTTTTATCTCACGTACACTTTAGTATAAATAGAGGTGTCTCTCGGACACCAAATCAGTTCTCTTCGGAGTTCTCTTTGGAGATCTCTTCGGATTTCTCTCCTGTGAGTTCTTGTCTTGGAGTGCTACAGTGTATAACTGTTTATAAGATGAAATAAAGTATTTGAATATTACTTTGTGTGTATTACTTACTCGTCGCGGCCGGTGGACCTGGATTGCGTCATGGATTATATTATCCATATTATACTGATGGAAGCTGACCACAAGGAAGATTACAACATAGATAACATTATGGATTGAGTCATGGAAATAAACCATGGATTCCGTCATGGATGGCATTATGAATCACATATGGCTTCACTACAGACCAACGTGGCTTCACGTGCGAGGTTTGAACGGGTTTTTTTTGATTGAATTGTTTTTTGTTTGTTTTTTATTTTTTCTATATATTACTGTACTGTAGAAAATTGATGGCTGCAATCATATTCAATGCAAAATGTGCATGATACATTTTTGTTGGCTATGTTTGATGGATATTACCAACAATGAGACCCGAGTTATACACTATCTGACAACTAATTGTAAATTGAATACAATTTAGGAAAAAAGTGCCAATTTTTTTAATTACCGGTATTTTTTTATTACCGGTATTATTCAAAATGACATTAATTTTTTTGTTAATAATTTGTTAGTAAAAAATAACAACTAAAATATCTTTAATTATTAGTAATCATACAATTATTATTTTACCTAATAATTACTTTTTTTTCTCTCTCAATAAATCTACCAAAAGTGTAAAATCAAACAAACAAAATATTACTGTTAGGAATAATTTTCGAGACAAAATTGCATAAAAATTAAAACTAATTTATTTAATTAATATCAATGTCTTTATTAATCAAATATTCGCCATCTTTATCTACGATCTTCTGCCATCTCATCGGTAACTCATTAATCCTTTTGCTGAAGAAGGTTTCGTCTTTAAGAGCCAAATAATCATTGATGGCAGTTTTGACCCCCTCTTTGTTATTGAAACGTTTACCATCTAAGAAATGCTGTAAAGATCGGAACAAATAGTAATCGGACGGTGCGATATCTGGGCTATACGGTGGGTGTGCCATGACTTCCCAATCTAGGGTTTCCAACTTTTGGCGAGTCATTTTTGAAACATGTGGTCTGGCATTATCTTGATGAAACATGACACCACTTCTTTTGACCAAATTTCTGTGATTGCGCAATAATGAAGTCTGTAAATCTTCGAGTTGTCGACAATATACAACACTATCTAATGTTTGGCCAATATCTAACAGCTCCCAATGGACGACACCTTTCATACACCACCAAATACAAAGCATTACTTTACGCTGATGAATATCAGGTCTTGCAGTCGGAATGGGCGCCTGTCCTATATCTCGCCATTGGCCTTTCTTTGTCACATTAACATATAACACCCACTTTTCATCGCCGGTAACAATTCGGTGTAGAAACGGGTCTTTACGGTTGCGAGAAAGCAATGATTCGCAGATGACTACCCGTTGGGCTTTTTGTGCCGGTGTCAACTCATGAGGCACCCAAACTCCCGCCAAATATCTCTTTCCAATCTTTACCAAATGATTCCAAACAGTCTTCTGATCCACCTCTAGTATCATACCAATCTCCGTGGTACTTAATCTGGGGTCTTCATCTATCAGGGATCTGATATCATCGTCATCAACCTTTGATGGCGCACCCGATCTTTCTTTGTCTTCCAGACAATAGTCTTTATTGTCAAATCGCTGAAACCACTCGTATACTCTGCTTCTTGAGACAGCATTTGGATACACTTCATTGATCTTCTTCAATGTCTCTGAGGCACTTGATCCACGACGATATTCATAAAGCATGACATTACGGATATGTGGATCTCTTGATGACAAGCCGTCTACCACTTTCACTATTGAAGACATCACTAAAACAACTGATCACAAATGAAAACAAATGTATTTACTACTGATGTGATTATAAAAAAATTTGAAAACAATAATAGAGATCATACAGTAATGACGTAAACTTAGGTTTATTTGTCTGTCTCGAAACTTAATCCTAACAGTAATATATTGTAATAAATTAAAAATACATTAAAAATACAAAAAATACATTAAAAATACAAAAAAATACATGAAAAATACAAAAAATACATTTAAAATACAAAAAAATACATTAAAAATACAAAAAATATTTAAAATACAAAAAAAAACATTAAAAATTAATGTAATATATTTTATAATGTTAATTACGATTAATATGATATCATTGAAAAATTAAAAACATAATATGTTACTTAATTAAAACAAAATGTTTATAATTTATTATTTTTATTATTATTAATTATGCTATTGATAATTTTTTAAAATTATTTATTAATAATAATAATAATAATAAACTAAATGTAAAATAATATATATATATTTTCAAATATCTTATTTATTTAATTTATATTTCTGTAATATATAATAGTTTTAAATCTCTCTCTCTCTCTCTCTCTCTCTCTCTCTCTCTCTCTCTCTCTCTCTCTCTCTCTTTCTCTCTTAATTGTCATCTGCTATTATTATATGATAACTAAAATACTGATAGTTATTATAGATATTTATGTTATATTATTTAAGTAAATAAAATTAGTTATTAAAACTAATATATATATATAATTGTTTGGTCAAGTTTTAAAAACAATATATCCTATTTTTAAATTAAATTAATATTTTATATATTCTGTAAAAATTATACTTTAATAAATACTAAAATAGTTATTATTATTATTATTATTATTATTATTATTATTATTATTAAATATTTCCATTTTTTCTACTAAACTAAACATGCAAATATATAATTAAATTTAAGACTAATTTTTAGAAAATTAATATTTTTAGTATTAGTTTAAAATATGTTTTTTATATTAATTAGAGCTAATAATAGTCAATTATTTCTATTAAAAAATTATCACAAAACACTAAAATATCGTTATAGTTATTGATAATTGAATTTTATTCAAAAATATTATTATATTAAAAAAATATATTAATGATAATTTAGCATGTTTAGTTAGTTAGCTAAAAATAAAATAAATAAAACTTGTTATATGAATAATTATGTTATTGTTATAGAATGGCTTTCAATGTATACCAGCAAATGCTGAATGAGATGCCAATAAAGTCTGATTTGATTTGATTTGATTTGATTATTAAAAAATATAGTTTTCATATATACTGATTAATAAAATAAATTTAATTACAAGTCTAGTTTTATTATATAATATATTATACTATTAAATTATTTTATATTAAATTAAATTATTATTTAAAGTATATATATATAATGCAAATATGATAACTAATAAATTAATGACCAATTATTATAATATAAGATTTGCCGATAAAATGGTTAAATGGTTACACAATCGTTATATAATAAATATGAATCGTTTTATTGTTGATGACAAATATTATTTGCTAATTAATTTATTATTCAAATTCAATACATTTTTATGTATTTGTCGGGAAATTGGTTTATATATAGGCAACAGTAATAAAAGTAGTAGTAGTAGTAGTAGTAGTAGTAGTAGTAGTAGTAGTAGTAGTAGTAGTAGTAGTAGTAGTAGTAGTAGTAGTAGTAGTAGTAGTAGTAGTAGTAGTAGTAGTAATAGTAGTAATAGTAGTAGTACTGTTCCCAATAAAACAATGGGACAGTTGGCTAAAAATTAAAGTATGAATTAAAATATTTTAATCAATCAAATTAAATGTGAAAAAACTATTTACCGGTAATTAATTTTTAACTTTATTTTGTTTTTAAATAGTTACCAATTATTGCCAATTATGTCGCAATTGGATAGCAATAAATGATGGCCAACAATTTGACGGCACCGCCGCCGCCGCCACTGCCAGCTCCGGGTGCCGACACGTCTATTGTCGCGAATGTTTGGCCCAATATTTGGACAGTCAGATAACTAACGGTACAGTACATCATATCAAGTGTCCGGACAGGCAGTCTTCGGGCGAAGCCGCCTACGAACTGGTATGCAAACTGTTGAGCCGTAAATCGCTGGTCAGATATCATAAACTGTTGCTCATTAAAACATTGGATACTATCGAGGATACGGTATTTCTATATATATATATATATATCATAAATATTATTATTATTTAATTAAAAAAATAAATAAAATAATTACCGTACTTATCGGTAATTAATTTTATAGGCCTATTGTCCCAAATGTA